AGTTGATTACCTCAACTGACATGGAATCAAAAGATTCGAGTCTATTTCCATTGTCATCAACAAGAATTTGGATGGTATCCCTTTTGTGTTTAAGAGCAAGAGCATAATGGAATAGTTTTGAGCATTTTTCACCCTCTTTAAGCCATTGAATCTTTGATTTTTGCTTTAAAAACATAATTCCTGTTGATTCGAGAGATTTTAGATCATTTTGCAGATGAATTTCATTTTCAATAGAATCCTCACCCCTTAAAGTTCTAAGTTATTGATGCTCCAATTCCGATTTCTTTTGAAGAACCCTTAAGGTGATATCACTATAATTAGAATGATTAAGCTCTCTTAACTTGACTTTAAGCCGCTTAAGTTTAGAAAAAAACTTCTGCATAGGGTGTCCTTGAGTAGGAATGATCCAAGAGTGCTCAACAATTGTCAAAAAATTATGGTAAAGAGCCCAGAAATTGAAGAACTTGAAAGGTTTGGGCCTATTGGCTTGAACATCTTTAGAGAGCCAGACTAAAGATAAACAATGATCAGATATACATGGAGAGATAAGAACTTTTGAAGCTGCTCATCTATATAGGGTTAACTAAGACACGATCAACCTTTCTAGCAATAAAAGAGTTTTGTTGCTTGTTGCTCCAAGTGAAGATATGACCAAAATAAGGGTGATATAATAGATCAAGGTCAAAAATAATGTCTTGAAATTCTTTCATATCTGGAGAAAAAATAGGACCTAGAAAAGTAGAGTCAGAACTCTCATTAGGATGAAGGGTGACATTAAAGTCACCTCCAAGAATCCAGGAGGATTGGCCAGCAATGGAATTCAGGAGACGGAGCTGCTGCCAGAGAGATCTTCTCTGTACACCAACATTGTAACCGTAGACAGCAGTAATAGTAAGAGGGTAACCAAGATGAAAGCCTTTGATAGACACACATTGATCAGTGGTATGAATAACAGAAAAATCAAGTCCAGTTTTCCAAAGAAGCCAAATTCTGCCATTAACTGCGAAATCATAATTTATAGCAGCAAACCAGTTTTTAAATCTATTTTGAATAATATTTCCAGCCTTGTCAGTTTTAACTCTAGTTTCCAAAAGACAGAGAACTTCAACTTTATTATGTAAAGCTCTTTTGAGAATTTTTTCTTGTTTTAGAGGATTGTTTAATCCTCTAACGTTTCAAAAAACAACAATCATTGAGAAAGGTTGGCGGTGGCAACCTCATTGCCATCTTCAACATTGGGCTTAGCCTTCACAAGTTTTTATTTCTTCTTAGATTTTAATTCATTAACTAGGGTAGCGACACCTAGTGCATACTTACGGGGTTTACGGTTAGGTACTGCTGCTACAGAGATAGCATCATCGACCCCATTTAGAGCTTCAAATCTATTAGAAGAAGCAGCAAGGAGTGGATTTTGCTTTGGCTTACCCCTACCTTTCTTAGTAATTGCCCGAGAGTTATCACCCTTATCTATAGAATGAGAAGCATTTTGTTCATGATTAAGTGGTATCTCTAATGGTTCCTCCACAGAAAGGTTAGAGACCTTAACCAGATATTTGTTAGCTTATTCAGGGACTTCACTAATAAGGTTTTTGTCTTTAGAATCCAGAATAGAGGGAGGTTTCTTTTATTGAATGAGTTCAATACCCCCAACAGTAGGCTCAATCTCCATATTATGAGGTTGTTGATCTTTTTTTCTCCAAATTTGCGTTTTTACTGGAGCTTGATCTTTAGAATTCTTGCAGCCCTTATCAGTATGACCAAAGATACATCAGGATTTGCATTGAGGTGGAAACCATGGCACCTCGACAGCAATCGAGACAGATTTCCCTTCACTAAGGATCACTTCTATAAAATTAGGGATATCGTCAGTTGCCCCTATCTCTGTTCAAATTTTAGCATATTCAAGGTGCGTTTTAGCTGCTGTAATCGAGTCTATGGAAAGGGGGATTCTAATGGCACTCACAATGTAGCTTAATCCAGTACGATTAAAGAGTTCTAAGGGAATATTGAAGAGATGTACCCAACTAGGTAACCTAGACAGATCAAAGTTTAATTTACTCAAATTCGGTTCCCATTTCTTTAGAATTGTAGGCTTATTAAGGATGTGCCAAGGTCCGTTCTCTAATACCCAATTCCTATCAGATTCAGAGGAAAACGAGAAAACGTAAAGATTGTTACCAGCGTAGCTAACCTTTACTTGATTTCCCGCTAGAGCTTTCTTCCAAATACTCTCCACGATTCGTTGCATAGCCACAAATCTAGGAGTTGCACCAAGAAATTGACCCACGATCGAGTGGTTCCATTCAGAAATTCCATATTGAAGGACCTCTGGAGGAGGATGAACCACAGAAGAGCCATCACGAACAAAAGGAGGAAAGTAGTCCAAGCCTTGACCCACAGAGCACCCAAAAAGATCTATTCAGTTCATTGGGTCTTCGCTCAAAGAGATATTTGAATAGAGAAGGCAGAATATAATAACAGAATACCAGGAGAAGAAACGGAGGCGTTGAAACACAACGGAGATCCTCTGATCCGTTAGGCCGACTAACATGCACCGGAGGAATCTTATCGTGCGCCTCGAGAGTAAAAATTAAAATACATGTTATTCCGTTTAACTAAAAGGCTAAAATGGATTAAATTGAAATAATAATTTTCGGAGGACCTATAAATATGATTCTACCACTATGTCTATCATCAATTGATGGATTAATTAATTAACGTTTTTGTCAAGACATAAAAGAGTTAATATAGAGGCAAATCCAAATAATGTGAAAAGGTTGTATTTGACCGGCCGAGACTCACGAGTCAACTCTCAAGTCCAAGCTCAACTGGCATCAAATAAAATAATCATCAATTAATGCATCAAATAAAATAATCATCAATTAATGCATCAAATAAAATAATACCTCAAAGAGTTTATTAATCCGATCCGATTGGATCTTAAATATTAAGTAGCGAGTAGTTTTGCTACTTCCAGGCGACACTGGACAGTAGCAGTCAAGTGGCTAGCAGTGGTTGAGCCAATATTCATAGTTTCGTGGAGGTTGCGGAGAAGGGTCCTACGCGTCTTTTTCACTATTTCTAAGGCGAAACACCTTCCAGTGGCTCCATTGATTTGACCTTTTTGTCGTCTGTTTCGAGTGATGAAAGAAAGGGGGAATTGGGGACCGAGCAAACGCCACGGCACGTGGAAGCTTCTCAATCGGCGTGCATGTTTACTCGAATCGCTTTACCCGCCGACAACTTCTTTGACCGTTTGGATTTATACCTAGGGACTAGTATAAGTCAGATTGGATCAAATTTTTATTTTTCCTTATTTTATTTTTATTTTTTTTAATTTTTCATTAATCTTAATACATTAGATTTTTTTTTGTTACTCAAAACTAAATAATTAGCGACATTAAAATAAACAGTTATATAGATGTAAAATAACATCGTTTTATTAAAACTCGTTATCTCGACATGACGAGTTTTATGTATTGTAAAAAAATGTGGTCGATCTTAAAATAAAAGTGGATGTACTATTTTTCAATTTTTTTGGGCTGTCCTATTTTTCAAACACACCCTAATTGTAGATTGACAAATATCAGATTGTATATATTCCAAAGGCCCAACTTGCAATTTGCTTATGGTTAACTCTAAAGGCCCAAAATTCGGATGCCAATACTAACCCAAAAGGAACTCATCTATGGGTTTCAAAATTTTAAACCACCGTTTAATCTGAGAGACTAACGTTTGACGTTACCCAAATACCGAGAAAATAATAAATTTATCTTAAAAAAATTATTCATATATATCTATATAAAATTATTCTTCTGCTTATTTAATTCAATTTGACTACGGGTTTTATTATAATTTTACCATTCTAATTTTACTTTGGTGTATTTTACTACATTAATTCTAAAACTTTATATTGTTAAGGTATTATTATTGTTATTATTAGATTATTCTTACTACAACCCTTAATCAATATTTACTACAACTGTCGATTAGCTAAGTGGGGTGGCTTGAAAGTGCCCTGGAATCCGTCTGGGACATCATAGTTAGTTATAAAGTCAGTTGTCGAATTGGCTTTGCGACTGATCAGAAGAAAATTTACCATCCATACTCTAAGATAAAGGCTATCAACTGCACGTACTATAGTGTATGGACTTACGTGGGAAGTTGACATGAGAAGCTTATGAACATCTTTATTGTCAGTTTGAAAAATAATTATTATTATTCGACTTATAAAATTTAGTTTTTTTAATTTATATTATGTCAATAGTAGAAAATAATATTATATTTTTAAATTCATAAAATAATAGTTTTAGTTTTAAAGCTTATACGATTTTCGATTTTGATATATTTTAGAAAATTTATCTCTTTTTTCATTAAAATCAATTATATAAACAAACTATCTCTCTTTATTGATATTGTATTCACATTGGTATAGGTACTTATCCTCTAGAATATTCATTGGTAATATGCCACTATCATTTTTATGCATGTCAATGTGATTGAACCTTCTAGCATTTTCTAAGTATCAGACTAAGGCATATAGTATAAGTAAGCCCAAAACATTGCTCGTAATATATTGGGAAGCTATTTGTACACACGCCTCTACCCTTTCTGTAGTTAGTGACATTTTTCCTCACTAAATCTAGTTAAGGGTGTTGATTGTTCGATTTTAACTCAAATGTATCCGTTTTCACCTGATGATGTTATTGACATGCTGAATGATGATAATGGTTGAGACTAGGTGATGATGTTGGTTTAGCTATTGGGTGTTGGGTGTAATTTGCCTTGCTTGTAAGGTTTGTATATTTTCACACACACACACACAAAAGTGATTTGATGACCAAAAAAGAAATGCTGAAATAATTAAGTACCAAACGGGTAGTTTACCCTGAAAAGAAAAAAAGCGCTAAAAGTTCAAACTAAAATTTTTGGCGGGTTTATGTCCGCTCAATCGCATAAGTAAAGATGCACAATAAAAATGAAAAAGCTCTCATAATTTTCATTTTACTTTCTTCCTTAATTTCCCCCCGATGGATAACCAGTACAAGCCCCAAACGAGGAGAAGCTTGAAGAGGAAATTGGAGCAAGAATTTGAAGAAGATAAGTCAGATCGATGCAAGGCGGCCGTCGTCGAGTCCTGTCGTACTCATCAAGATATCCTCCGCGACGTCCGACTTCACGTCGATGTTCTTAACTACTGCACCTCCTTTTCAGAAGCTGATCGTGCTGGCGCCAAACATTCCGCTCAATTACTTTCTGAATTCGCAAAGAACGGTTCATTTTTAATCCTTTAGCTTTCATGTATTTAACGAAATAGATTCGGTGTTTATTCAGTGTTTGTTATTGTTTCATTGGCGGTTATAGAGGATCTGGTGGATTTGATCGTGGAGTGCGGCGCTGTCCCTGCACTGGTAAAGCATATTCAGTCGCCAACGCTGTTGACAGATTCCGATCAGAAACCATTGGACTATGAAGTAGAGAAAGCAAGTGCGTTCGCGCTTGGGCTTCTCGCGGTCAAGGTAATTGGGATGCCTTTCTTTTAATTGCTTTCAAGTTCAACCGATGCATTATTTTTGTCCACTACTTGAAATTTGTCTTCATTTTTTTCTTATGTTAAATAGCCAGAGCATCAACAACTCGTTGTTGACGCCGGGACACTGCCATATCTCGTGAACTTGTTAAAAATACGTCAGAATGATAGTGATTCTCGCGGAGTGAATGGTGTTTTAAGAAAAACTGCCGATGCTATAACAAATCTTGCTCATGAAAACTCCGCCATTAAAACCCGCATCAGGTTCGCTTGTTTGGATATTCTCCTATATAGTTTCCGTTAGTGTTAACTTTTCACACCCTAATAAACTGTTAATTTTCCCCCTATATCAATAGTAGAACTGAGGGTGGAATCCCACCACTTGTCGAGTTGCTCGAGTATCGTGAGGTGAAGGTGCAGAGGGCAGCTGCTGGGGCCTTAAGGACGCTAGCATTTAAGAACGATGAGAACAAAAAGGAGGTAAGTTTGTTTCTGCACTGTATGGTAGTACCATCTAGTTCTCGTTGTCGGTTTCAATATAGTTTATGAATTTGCAGATCGTTGAATGCAATGCTCTACCCTCCCTTGTATTAATGCTTTCCTCTGAGGATGTTACCATACATTATGAAGCGGTTAGTTTCTGCTAAGTTTTTAATTTTTTTGTCATCTTAATACACTCTTTGGAGAGTTGCTATGCACTTTATAAACTGACATGAGGAATGTTCAGGTTGGCGTGATTGGGAACCTTGTCCATTCTTCTCCAAACATAAAGAAAGAAGTTCTTCTTGCTGGAGCATTGCAGCCTGTGATCGGGTTACTTAGGTAGTGCTGAGTTCCACATTAGGTTTTTGACTTGTTCTTTGGGAAGATTTCAGTTTTAATCATATTGCATGTATGTCTGTCAACAGTTCTAGTTGTTTGGAGACCCAGAGGGAAGCGGCTTTACTCATAGGTCAATTTGCTGCTGCTGATTCAGATTGCAAGGTTGGCGAGATATTAATTCTAATTTGGCACACAAATTTTGTTAACTGCTCAAGCATATGAAATACTATAATATTGTTATGTGTTTATGTAAATATATCTTTCTGTTAAAAGTTATTGAAGATGGAATTCTACAGGTACACATTGTCCAAAGAGGCGCTGTTCCCCCTTTAATAGAAATGCTTACATCTTCAGATGTGCAACTCAAGGAAATGTCTGCATTTGCACTTGGACGGTTGGCCCAGGTTTGTATTTATTTTCAGTCTCTCAGGGTTTAAATTATCTGGATGGTATTTGAAACTAATGTAAGTCTCATGTCTGTGACAGGGCTTAAGGAAGTTAATCAGTTCATAAGTATTTATGCTGAAGTGCTTGTTTTAATTTCTTTCCTAGATGCTTAATGGTTTTTTGGGGTTGTACTTTATCAATTAATGTTTTTTTTTTTATTTTGCAGGACACACACAATCAAGCTGGAATTGTACAAGATGGTGGAATCACGCTACTACTAAATCTTCTTGACTCAAAAAGTGGACCATTGCAACATAATTCTGCATTTTCCCTATATGGCCTTGCTGATAATGAGGTGGAGGCATTGCTTCACTGTATTATTTTAAACTTGAACTGCAGTTTTTATACAGTGAGTCTAGAGGTGTTTACAACTATTCTATTCTTTAGGATAATGTTGTAGATCTTATCAGGACTGGAGTTGTTCAGAAACTCTTGGAAGGAGAGTTCATTTTTCAGGTATGCTTTAGGATTCTGCTTTTACCATGCTGCTGTTTCAAATTAATTTATTTAATTATTTTTGCTTACCCTAAGAATTTATAGTGAGAAGACTTGTGTATTTTCCTAGTTTGATATTCATTAGTATACCTTGTATTACTGCAGCCAACTAAAGATTGTGTAGCAAAGACAATGAAGAGATTGGAGGAAAAAATTCATGGACGAGTGAGTTTATTTTTTTGCTAGCTTTTGGCTCTTTTATATTTTGCATTTGCAGTTAGGTTAAGCCAATAGTTTTATAGTAGCAAAAAGTCTTGAGACTGTATAGACATTATATGTTGTGACATTGTTCTTTGATCCTTCCTGTTAACAGACATTGAATCATCTGTTGTACCTTATGCGGACTGCAGCCAAGGCTGTTCAAAATCAAGTCGCTCTGGCTCTTGCTCATCTTTGTTCTCCAAATGATCGGAAACCTATTTTTGTTGACAACAATGGTAAGACAGTTTTCTATTCCAATTGTTGTTAGCACTTCTATTCATTCACAATGATATCCTTTAGCTGTTTCTATTTTTGGGTTACATTTCCTAATTGCTGGTGCTCAACAATTCCCTCCAGGACTGGAGCTGCTTCTGGGCCTTCTTGAGTCTAAGAGTTTCAAGCAGCAACAAGCTGGTTCAGAGGCCATGTATAAGTTGGCAACAAAGGGTACTTCACTCTCATCTGTGGATGCTGCCCCACTATCACCAACCCCTCAGGTTTGTTCATGTCTCCTGATCTTCGGTGAGAAGATTATTGCATTTGATTGAAATCTTTTAGTAACATAGAAATTATGGATGTGCATGCATATTGTACCAGTTGCTTTTCCCTTGTTGGTGGCATGAACTAATCACTGGCAGTACGGGACTAGTTTTAGTTTTTAAATCAAGTTTTGAAGTCGATCTGGCTGAATTTGTAGTTAGCGACGATCAGTTCTTTATGCAATTGATATCTAGCAGTCTCTGTAATTTGTTGCCTTGGTGGTAACTGGTAAATAGCGATGCATTAAAATTTTTTCCCATTGTGTCAGACTAACAACTATTTCTTTTTCCCCCATCCCCCCCCTCTATAAATGCAGGTGTATTTGGGTGAGCAGTATGTAAATAATCCTACACTTTCTGATGTTACATTTTTGGTTGAAGGTATGGATTTTTTTTTGTTACCGGTGACTGCGTGCTCTTTATTAATCTCGGATCTTTTCTCTTATCAGTGATTGCGCTTGCTCTTTATTAATCTCTCTTTCATTTTAAGTTGAAAAGTTCTTCAGTCTTTCAATTTCCATATTCTTCTCTCAGGTAAAAGATTCTATGCTCACAGAATCTGTCTTCTTGCTTCTTCGGATGCATTTCGTGCCATGTTTGATGGTGGTTACCGGGTAAGATAATTCGAGGATATTTTTCCCATCATCATTTTTTTCCCTTTCTGCTACTTTGCCATCCCTTGGACACTATCTCGAAATTGCGGAGCACATTGCTATATAATATAATAAAATGCTTCAATAGAAGGATGATCGACATGAAAATTGTTTTGCAGGAGAGGGAAGCCAAAGATGTTGAGATTCCAAATATCAGATGGGATGTTTTTGTCCTAATGATGAGGTATATATTTGAATGCTCACTTGTAAATATATAATAAAATTGTGTTGGAAAGTCCTCACTTGTTTGTTGTTATGGTATTATGCTGCCAGGTATATATACACAGGATCAGTGACCGTTGAAATCGATCTTGCTCAAGAACTTCTTAGAGCTGCCGATCAGTATCTTCTTGATGATCTTAAGCGCCTTTGCGAATACACCATTGCTCAGGTGTGTATGTTTTACTGTGATATTTCTTCTACTGATCATATTACGGATTTACATGCTTATCTGTTCTAATTATCTGTTTTGTAAAGGATATTTCTGAGGAGAATGTTTCTCTGATGTATGAACTAGCCGAGGCCTTCAATGCTACCACACTACGTGAAGCTTGCCTACTCTTCATGTTAGAGCAATTTGAAAGAATAAGTGCCAAACCTTGGTATGTGATCCCCAAAACTGTACTTTGTCAAAAAATCAATGTTTCTAAGCCGTTTGATGCTGTGAACATGCAGGCGTAACCGTTTGATTCATCACATCATTCCAGATTTACGGGATTTCTTCATAAGTTCACTTGCAAAATGTCATGACCCTATGAGGGAGCACATGTGAACTTTTAACTGATACCTCGCTGTTGATTAGGTTACACCATTAATTTGTGAGGTCTTTTCTTGTGGATAAAACTAGTAGACTCGGTGTTATGTGTTTGTATAGATAGGAATTGGTAGAACAATGAAAACTCTTTGATCTAATTCTAATATGATGAAAGTTTTACAGCAAAAATTCCAGTCATTTACTTTTTTACGGTATCACATGTGTGGTAGTATAGAAAGTGGGCATTAAAAAGGTGTGTCCTCTCTGATTTTCACCACTTCAACTATATATCATCCTTCAACTCTTTCACTTTTCTTCGTCTTCAATCTCTTGTTCCTTATAGTTTTCTCTCTTACAAGACCTAACCTATTGTCTTTTCTTTGTTGATTCCAAGGTTTCTTTTTCATTATCCCAGAAAATTCCAAGAATAAAAAGGGTTCTCTTTTATTGATTTAAACTCCCCTGTTTTTTTGCCCTGATTTCTCCTTTTATTGTGGAGAAAACAATGTTCTCAAGTGCATATCAAGGTTTGCAATTGTGCCTAGAGGCAGGGGTCGTTGAATCACATTTTCTAAGGCTGAAACTGGCTCCATCTGCAATTATTCTTAAACCGACGGAACTCGAATCTACGTCCTGTGATGAAGAAAAAAGCATCGGCGTTACTGATGACGATGACAACAACAATGGCAGCGATTGTAAACCGATAGTTAATCGACATATTGATATTGGTGGTTGGAGATTTCTTCAATCCCTCGCCAGCCGCAAAGATTCTACGGAGCATAATGAAGTTTACGTGCACCCTCTTGCTAAGAGTTCTGCTTGTAATCTAAGTGAAAAAAGCCTTCACATGTGCACCGAAAGCTTAGGGAGCGAGACCGGAAGTGAAATCAGCGACTGCAGTGATGACATTCTGTTTCTTTCATCGGAAACTGTTGGCCGCCATACACCAAAACCGAGGGAAAATTTTGTGACGAGAAGGATGAGTTGTAGCGGTTCAACTACGGGTCGTGGCAGTAGCTTTCCACCTCCTTTGACGTCCATTAGCGGTTCCGGTTCAACTGTGTATTACAATCCATTGAATACTAGAAGAATGAGTCGTAGTAGCAGCACCTTTCCGCCTCCTTTGACGTCCATTAGCGGTTCAAATGGCGTCCGAGTCACGTCTCACCGTGAAGGCGGCCGCCTCGTACTCCAAGCCGTTAGTGCCCCTACTTGTAATACGTACATGCATGCAGAACGGAGTGAAGGAAGGCTTAGGCTTTGCCTTTTGAAACAAGGTACCCCTAGTACCCCAATTTTCGATGACCAGGACGGTGAAGAGGCGGACAACGGAGAAGAAGGTGAAGTAAATGAAGAACAAAGTGAGGGAAGACTTAGCCTTTTCCATTCGAAAGATACTACCGCTACTACCCCGATTTTCAATGATAAAAACGGCAAGGATGAAGAACAAGAACGAGATGAAGTAGCCAAAGAAGATAAAGTTGTTAATGAAGAAAATGGTACTGTGCAACATGAAGTTGAAGAAGAAAAGTGTCATTGGGCAGATGAGGGTATGGATGTAAAGACTGAGAATATTGGGGGTAAAATTTGGATGGGGAAGCTAGCGAGAGCTAGCAGTTGCAAAGAAAGACCTTGTAGGCACGAAGGATTCCTTACTTGGGAGCCATACTTTGTGGCAGCTTAGTGTGTGTATGTTTTTTAAAATAATTAATTTAAATTTAATATAATTTTATCAATCAATTTAAATTATAAATACATATTATCTTATAATCCTCCGAAATCATTAAAAAAATCATAATTATTACTATTATTTTTTCTTTTCTTTTCAAGACTGGATACTTCAATTGCACGATGAACTAATATTTTCCTTCAAGCAATTATACGGACCGACATTAATGGAGTACAACCACCAACAGTAGAGTTGGATGGTCCCAACCAAGCACGTTCAACCAAGGGGGTTGTCGAATTCAACGATATCATCGCTTTCAAGTTGTTGGACCATCATCACATGTCATTTAAGAAAACGAAACAGGAAGTTTCACATAGAGTGAAACATGCAATTGACCTGCATACGCATTAGCTTCCATGTGCTGCCTTCTCTCATTTTACTGTATCAGGTTCCAATCAGTTGAGAAGATGCTTATGATTCCTTGAGATTCCCTTCCTCTTATTAATGTCACGTGACATTTCACTTTTGAAAATATCCTCATAAATATATATATATATATATATATATATATATATATATATATATATATATATATATATATATATTACTGAAAATCCAATATGTGCTAAAAAATTAAAGATTATGGAGCGAATCAGTTATATATATTGAAAATATCATCACCCTGCAAAAAGTGAAAAGGCTGCCTTACACAATCTTGAGGGAGTGGCCGAGAGTTTTCTGTTGGCATATTTTTTCTTTCCCCCAATTGCTCTCTCGATTTTAAGGTTTCGTCTTAATCAATTTGGACCGACCCACTTTTAGTGGGTGAGTCTACCAACAAAGATTTTCTGCTTACACAAAGACCCGAACTCAAGATCTTGCTTAAGTAATATCAAACTACTTACTACTTGAACTAATCCATGTTGGTTCGATTGGCATCTTTAATATTAGGGTTTAAATTTTGATATTATCTTCAGCCACCACCATTTATATATATGAAACGTTGGAGAGTAATATGTTCCATAAAATGATAGGCACTTGAGGGACTTGAGCAACACTATTATTGAACGTTAGGAGTGTTTTTTTTGGGTTTTATGCCATATTATAATTATATATGTATTAGACTCTTTCATTAACCTAATAATAACAATAATCACGTTAGGCAAATCCCCAATATGGATAATGTCTTTGATTTTGTGGATTGAATTTGACGTGATTTCTCATCAGCACCGACGGGGAAAGGTTTCAGTTCCACGTTTAGCTTTTGGCTTTGGCCTTTTACCCTACGGACGACATACGAACAACCATGGCTGATAGCCCCCACTTGACAACGTACAAGAGAAAAATGGCATCTAATTAAGATAGGGTTGTCGTTGTCCCTGTGCGGATGACAAGGCAACAGGTATGCCTAAAAAAGTTGCACCACATGATAAAACGCTCCACAATATCACACATGGAGGAGGACCAATTGAATTTTTTTATTATTAATCTTTGATTATAAGATAACGTTTATTCAATAAATATCTTAATAATCATTTGACAATAAACACTTTCACAAATAATATATTTAAATCTAAAATCTATATAAATAACGATTATTTTTTTAATTATCAAGATCGTTTCATTTGTGAGCTATTGAAATCCTTAAATATTGTTAGAGTCCTCAATAGATAATATAGTACTATTATTTATTTCCATTGGTGGGCTAGGCCACGCCGTGCCAACGTCAAGACTTTGTGCATGTATATTACCCACTAGTTTTTGTGGTTTTGCGATCATTATCTCCAAAATTTTCCAACGTGTGCAACTTCTTTGCCGTCCACGTGTATTGGATTTTGAAACACGCATTGTTCCTACACAGATGAGAAAGGCCCATATGTTTTACCAATTCATTTCTTTCGAGACTAATTGGGTAAAGCCCATGTGTTAATCGAGGATTTTTGTACCACAATAAAAAATTATGAAGAATTGTTTCGTTATGAGTGTCTTTTTGTATAATTGGTTGCAAAGTTATTGTATCATCTTTAACTTCATTCTCAATAGGATTTTTTAATAACACTAACTATAATTTATTTTAAATTGTGTACCTCTGAACATGTATCATATTCGGGGAATCCAATATAGTGGCAGATGTAGAACCAATCCAATATAGTGGCAGATGTAGCTGGTTCTCAGGGTGGAAATGTGCCCACCCTAAAATCTAAATTTTCGTTGACTAGTTGCTCATTTTATTGATTGCGCCCACCATAAATTATTATTTGTGCTCATCCCATACAAATTTTTCGTATTGTCAGTATATTTGTGCTAGCTCTAAAAAATATTTCTGAATCTATCACTTATCTAATAGATGATTGACATATATTTTGTTACTAAAAGAATGTAATCATCTTAAATCTGAATCGAATTAGATGATTAGATAACAAATAAAGTTTTTAAACCAAATTTGGATTGATTAAATATCTGACCCAACTTAATCATATCCATATTAATATTTATTTGGGATAAGTATAAATGTAATATCTGTTCAAATTTGGGGTAAGTATAAAGGTAATATCTGTTAAAAGATATGACTAGGAATCAATTCATATTTTGTGGTGTTGGTCTTCTGTAGTATATTTAGGAATGGTTGTAAACCTTTCTTGTTCTTTTAGTTCTGGCAACCAGTGTCTAGGATCTATATAGACAATTGTTAACTTATCTTGAAAAAGGAAGAAAGAAAGAAGATGTGTATACTTTTTCTTGTCAAGGGAAAGATACTCCATTGAATCTTGCTTTTGGCCTAAGTTTCTTTTGTTTTATGAATTATTTTATTTTTGGTGCATTCTCATGTGCGTTCTCTTGAATTGATTGAAAACAAGTACTCTGTCATATTGTTCCATCATTAGTGAAGTTGCGGAAGGAGGGATTGGATGGTCACGAGAAGATTAAGAGTTGTACGTGTGTCTAGTTTTTCATCTCAAGCAGTGAGACGAGTCCTTGCTACATGTATAATTCTTGAAAATGTTACTTGGACGTTTACAAAGCATGTTGTTATTCTTTCATTGCAGATGGTGGATTTCACTTGGCTTTGCAATACTAGAAGCTACTATAGGTTCTAGCTATTCTCTTCCTTATTCAATTTATGCAGCCAGTTACAGGTAAGTTAGCAATATAAACACGAAAGCAACAATTTCTGATGCTTTTGTTTCTCACAAGAAATTGGCGGGATATGATGCATATTTAACCTTTTCCTGGAATAAAACTTACACATAATTTTCACATGTTCTCTATTCATTTTCCCCATCTATGCCTTATATTTGAGCTTTTATTTGTAAACTAAAGCCTTGTGGTTTTTGTAGGGTTAAGAATGTGATGGTGACTGCTTTACTTTTGGTTTGTGGAGCAATGACTATGACATGGATCTGTGAGTGACTGACCGAATAAATGTAAAGCTAGCGGTTAATTTCTCTAGAATCTATAATGAGGAAAACTCTGAGAATAGAGCTTTAAGCAACAAAGTTTATTCGATGTGCAAAGACCTTAGTAATTCAATGAAAATTGTACCTGTACACTAGTCCTTTAGTGGTTATTTGCTCAATTGCAACGACCTTGGTTTTCTGTAGATGTGGACATCAACTATTCTCGGTGTTCTGCATTTTTTCAGTGTGCGCTATTATTGGTTTCTTGCATCCACAGGCAGTGCCGTGAGTTGGTGGCCGTACATGTTTGTTGTATTAGGTGTTTTTACTGTTGTCACCATGTGGGCAGTTATTGTAACTGAGGGTTGCAGGAAAATAAAGCTGCAGTACTATGAGTTTAAACTAGCATCTGCTGCAAGGTAAAGTCAGCGCTAATTACCTAGACATTAGATGCATTCGGTGGATGGACATAGGCTTTGGTTTCAATTCTTCTTTGTGCAGCATAGATAGAACAGTTCATGGCTAATCTGAGCAGGGAGCAGTAACTAATTTTATGTGAATTAGGACTATTGTTGAACTCTGTTGACGAAAACGGGTAAAGAAAACAAAAGAACACGAGAATTTTACGAGGTTCGGCAATGTGCTTACGTCCTCGGTGCCTAGGCGGCGCTAGAAGTTTTATTCAATGATATTTTAGGTCTAGGTTACATCTCTATTTATAATAGAAAACCCTGGTACATAATTACAAAATCAACCCTGTACCGTACCGCGGGGCTGCGCCCCCACACCCCCAACCCACATAATTTGTAACCCCACAACGAGACTTTCTTTGTAAGGACAGTTGATGTTCGCTGCGTTCGCTTCGCTCACTCCGCTCCATCTCCTGTCCTCTTTACTGGTATATTTATGAGCCATACCTAACAAATCTCCACCTTGGCGAATATCTTGCCCCTTGGAAACTTCAATGTGGGTTGGGTTACCTTGCTTCTTTAACAACTCGAAACATTCAACAAGTCCAAGCAATGCTTGAACTTGTCTGTCGTAACTGGCTTGGTGAACATATCAGCGGCATTCTCATCAGTATGTACCTTCTGAAACAAAACCTCTCCAGATGCAACCAACTCTCTGATCTTGTGGAACCTTACATCAATATGTTTAGTTCTAGAACGATACACCTGATTCTTAGCCAATTGAATAGCACTTTGATTATCACAAAGCAACTGAACTCCACCTTGTTGAACACCCAACTCCTTCACTAAACCAGTAAGCCATAAAGCTTCTTTTGCAGCTTCAGCCGCTGCCATGTATTCAGCTTCAGTTGTAGATAGTGCCACGACAGATTGAACAGTAGACTTCCAGCAAATAGGCCCTCCACCAAGAGTAAACACATACCCTGTCGTAGATCTTCTATTATCCAAGTCACCTGCATAATCTGAATCCACATATCCTACAACCAAAGGATTATCCCGCTGACTCCCAAAAACAATTCCATGTCCCACAGTACCCTTTAAGTACCGAAAGATCCACTCGACTGCATCCCAATGTTGCTTACCAGGTTTAGACATGTACTTACAAACTTGACTAACAGCATGAGCTAAATCAGGACGAGTACATACCATCGCATACATCAAGCAGCCAACAGCATTAGAATACGGAACCTTTGCCATATTTTCAGCTTCCTTATCTGTCTTAGGGCACTGTTCTGATGAGAGCTTAAAGTGATTCGCCAATGGAGTGCTAACTGGTTTCGCGCTGCTCATCGCAAACCTTTCTAGCATTTTCTCAACATAACCCCGTTGAGATAGCCGCAGTTTCCTTGAGTCTCTGTCCCTGCAAATTTCCATTCCAAGAATTTTCTTTGCAGCACCTAAATCTTTCATATCAAATTCCTGACTCAATAAAGTTTTCAAACCGATAACATCATCCATGTTCTTCGCAACAATCAACATATCATCAACATACAGTAATAGACACAACAATCATACTCACATCGGTTGTAGCCAATCTTGATCATATAGGAGTCAAACCGTTTATACCACTTTCTCGGAGACTGTTTTAACCCGTACAAAGATTTCTTCAATCTGCAAACTAAATGCTCGTTTCCAGGTTGAGTGAAACCTTCAGGTTGCCACATGTAGATCTGCTCCTCTAAATCACCATGCAAAAAAGCAGTTTTAACATCCATCTGCTCTAAATGCAAATCCCAACTAGCCACCAATGCAAGTACTGCTCGGATTGAAGTGTGCCTGACCACAGGAGAAAAGATTTCATCATAATCAACTCCTTTCTACTGTGAAAAACCCTTCGCTACCAAACGAGCCTTGAATTTCTCCCCCTCTTTTTCTGTTACTGCTGGTTTCTTCTTATACACCCATTTGCAACCAATCGGCTTCTTACCCTCAGGAAGGGGAACTAACTCCCATGTGCGATTGTGATTCAAAGACTCCATCTCCTCAACCATGGCTGCCATCCACTTGTCGTTTTCCTGACTAGTAACGGCATCATGAAAAGTAACTGGATCATCACTGCTAACAGTAAGTGCAAAAGATACCAAGTCTTCAAAACCCAATCTGTTCGGAGGCTTTATATTCGTCCGTCTCACCCTGTCTCTGGCGAGACTATAATCCTGCAAATCATCCGTAGTGGAACCACCAGAAGTCGGTTGAGAAGTTTCTGGTTTCTCAACTGGAAACTGCTCGAAATCTACCACTGTCGTGTCTTGCTTCTGCTGCAACATAGACTGTTCATCAAAAACGACATCTCTACTAATCACAACTTTCTTCGCAACTGGATCCCATAACTTGAATCCTTTGACACCTTTCTTGTAACCCAGAAAAATGCACTCCTTCGATTTTGCATCAAGTTTGGATCTCTCATCAGCAGGTACATGTACATAAGCAGGACAACCAAAAATCCGTAAGTTATCAAAACTAACATCATGACCAGTCCATACCTCTTCTGCAACTTTCCCAGCCAGCGATGCCCTTGGCGATCTGTTGATAAGGTAACATGCCATGTTAACAGCCTCAGCCCAGAAGTGTTTGGGAAGCCCCCCATTCAACCGCAAACATCTGGCTCTTTCATTCAACGACCTGTTCATTCGTTCCGCAACACCATTCTGTTGTGGTGTCTTGCGCACTGTAAAATGCCTCTGAATCCCATGCTCCTTACAGAATTGTAGGAACTGTGAATCTGTGTACTCCGTACCATTGTCAGACCGCAAACACTTGATTTTTCGTCCTGTTTGGTTTTCTACCTCAGCTTTCCACAGCTTGAACTTCTCAAAAACTTCAGATTTCTGTTTCAAAAAATACACCAAAACTTTCCTTGAAAAATCATCAATAAAAGTAACATAGTACCTAGATCCACCCAAAGACGATGTCGTGGAAGGCCCCCATACATCAGAATGCACATAATCAAGAATCCCTTGAGTTGTGTGCTTCGCAGTCTTGAAACGGACTTTAGTCTATTTACCAAGAACACAATACTTGCAAAAATCGAGCTTACAGCTTTTGACACCATGCAACAAGTTTCTCTTGTGTAATTCTGCCATACCACGTTCACTAAGATGAGCAAGGCGCATATGCCACAATTTTGTCGTATCATCACAGGACTCAACAGAGTGAACTCCACCTGCAACGATACTCCCTAACAATCTGTAGATATTCCCTGCAGTCATCTTGCCTTTCATCACAGTCAATGCTCCTTTAACAATCCGAATGGTTTCCCTATCCTCGTCAGCCTTAGGGATAAAACCATTCTTGTGCAAAGTGCCCAAGGAAATCAAATTCTTCTTCAAGTCTGGGATATGTCGAACACCACTCAACGTCCGAACGGAGCCATCGTGCATCTTAATTCTGACATCACCAATACCAACAATATTGCAACATCGATCATCACCCAAATAAACCGAACCAGAATTAACCGGCCTGTATGTCGAAAACCATTCCCTATTTGGCGTGATGTGATAAGAACATCCAGAATCAAGAATCCAAGCATCCGTCAATTGTGTCGTTGAAATAGAAAGCATATCACCCTCACTGCAATCAGAAGTATCATCCTCGACCACGTTCACAGACTTGGATGAGCCATCACGCTTCTCATCAGTCTGCTTTTTCAACTTCGGATAGTCTCGCTTCATATGTCCCGCCTCCTTGCACTTGTAACAGTGAATCGTCTTCTTATCCCTGGATTTGGATCTGGAATTCCGCTTCCCGGACCCTGCCTTCTCTGGCTTCCGTCCACGATCTCGATTACCCTTGACATATAAGCTATCGGCTTGAGAGCTTTCCCCTGCATTCTGCTTCCGCTGGTTGTGAGCCAACAAGGCTGCAGTAATCTCCTCAACGTTGATAGTCTCTTTCCCATATGTAAGAGTAGTCACCATGTGTTCGTAAGAGGAAGGCAACGAACACAACAGAATCATCGCTCTGTCTTCATCCTCAATTTTCACATCAAGCCGAGCCAGATCAGAAACGATTTGATTGAAGACATTCACGTGTTGCGCCAAATCGTGATCGTCCTGCATCTTCAGCCCATACAGCCGCTGCTTCAGATACAGTTTTGTCGTTAAGGATTTGGACATAAACTGACTTTCCAACTTCCTCCAAATTTCGTCTGGAGACGATAGATGCATGACGTGATACATGACCTCGTCCGCCAAGCATAATCGTATGGTTCCTGCCGCTCGCTGCTGCAATTCTTCCCAATCTTCCTCATCCATCGACGCCGGCTTTGTAGGTCGCAAAGCCTTCAAGATCCCTTGCTGCGCCAATAGATCCTTCACCCTCGTTTGCCATAATCCGAAGTTACCCTGACCATCGAATTTCGCGACTTCGAATTTTGCTCCTGACATCTGATACCAATTGTTGACGAAAACGGGTAAAGAAAACAAAAGAACACGAGAATTTTACGAGGTTCGGCAATGTGCTTACGTCCTCGGTGCCTAGGCGGCGCTAGAAGTTTTATTCAATGATATTTTAGGTCTAGGTTACATCTCTATTTATAATAGAAAACCCTGGTACATAATTACAAAATCAACCCTGTACCGTACCGTGGGGGCTGCGCCCCCACACCCCCAACCCACATAATTTGTAACCCCACAACGAGACTTTCTTTGTAATGACAGTTGATGTTCACTGCGTTCGCTTCGCTCACTCCGCTCCATCTCCTGTCCTCTTTACTGGTATATTTATGAGCCATACCTAACAAACTCATTTAAGAATATTTGTAACTTCCAGTGTTTGTTTATTAACCTATAATAATGGTTATATGATCTTTCTCATTGTCATATTTTCTTTGTTGTGTTGGTCAGGGAAGATTCCCCGATCACTGAAGTAGAACCTTATATTCCTTTTAATATTAATCCATCAGGAATGCAGCCTCTTCTCACTGCCACTTATTTATTGGCTTTTCCAAGTATTGTTGCAAGGTAATTGTTCCCTGAAGTGATTAAAAAACTTATTTTGAATCATCTATTCTATTTGTATTTTGGGGGCAATACTCGTTTGATGCATTACATAGCTTGGGTTTGTTGTTTGTCTTATCTTGCGGGTTTACCTTAAAGCTATCTTTTATTGATTGCCCATAAATGATCTTAACACATTGCATTCTTGGCAGTATCCTTGGTTCACCATTTTGGGAGCATGTTAAGGAGATATTGAACCCTACAACATTTGTTGGCGCAGAGCCATGGGTTTACTATTCAATATATGTGTTTTTTGTTTTTATGTTTAATATATTTTGATATTGCAAGTACTTTTGAACCTCTGTGATTCTAAGTTTCTGATGATTACATGCTTATTGTGTGCTATTGCGATCTAAATTTCTTCTGTTCCAATGATTTATATCTTCTGGCTATTGCTTACTGGGTATTGGTAGGGGTGAGCGTTTGATCGATTCGAGTCGAGTTAAAAAATTTCGAGTTATTCGAGTTGATGAGTCCTATTTTACAACTCATATTTGATTTGAATTTTTTTCGAGTCGAGTTGAATCGATTTTTCGAGTTTCAATTTAAATTTAATTGTAAATATTTATAATATTATAAATATTATTTGATTCCAATTTAAGTGACTTTCTATAACCATATATACAATACAAATATATTTCTTCATATTTTTTTCATATGTGATATACATATATTATACAAAGCCAAGGACTCAAGCCAAACTTGAAAATAAATCGACTAGTTACTAAAAATTTCGAGTTATTCGAGTTGCATTTTACAACTCGATTTGAATTTGAAAATTTTCCGAGTCGAGTCTAGTTTATGAAATTGCAATTCGATCTCAATTCGAGTCGAGTTTTTTCGAGTCGAAAAATTTGGTTTTTCGAATCGAGTCGAGTTTTGCTCGCCCCTAGGTATTGGCGCCAATGGATAGTAGTGTGTGATTATTTTTTTGCTATTATGCTAGTTTTGATCTATTTTGTTTAAAAAAAATAAATAAAAATCTTAAAGATGGAATGCTGCACTTTCAATGAGAAATTTTGGGTACTCCGAGCTATGTACAGAAATGATTACCGCTAACGGGCATTAGGCTTTATGCGATCCGTTTTCCTATTTGTATACATTGGTCTATTCTCTCAAACCTAATAATCAATCCTTGAATTTGTTTATACGATGTGTTTGTTTGAAGAATTCTGCAATTCTGGCTCCTATTAGTTTATCCACTACTCATTGCTTCTTTCTGTTTGCTATTTGTGTGGAAACTCCTGTGCAGGCCAACATGCGGAGGGAAATTGCAGATTACCTGAATAAGATGGGTGCCAGGATACCAAATATAAAGCCAGGGAAGGCTACTATTGAATATCTCTCAAGGGTTCAGGCATCAACACGTTTTTGGGGTACGTATCTGTCTGAAAAAAAAAATTACATTCTGTACTTGGATTGTTGGAAGCTTATGCACTACTGCGTGTTGAACCTACTTCTGATTTCTTGTGGGATTATTGGCTGTATTTTGTCATCACATCTGCAGGAGGGCTACTTTTAAGTATTTTGGCAACTACATCAACCATACTTGATCATTACTTGAGACGTATCAATGAGGGATTTGCAATCGGATTTACCTCAATTTTAATAATTGTAAGTACAATTCTAATGGCTTGTTTGTCAGTGCACTGATGCTCAGTTTTTTTATAAACTGGCTTATAGGACTTGATCAGAAATCAACTCGAATGAGCAATTGGAGTAAATATCTATGGAACACTGCTATCTTTAGGTAGGATTATCACACGGTTCTGCATTTTCATGGAATGCGTTCCTCCATTTTGGTTTAGGTGGGTTCCATAATCGAGCTAAGAAGATCATACCAAGCATACAATGTCATGCCAAGTTTAAGCAAAGCACTGAGGCTGACCACTTTCAACAAGATAACATTAATAAACTTTGTCGTAATTACAAACACCACCCATTTGGAAATGGAATAATGATTTACATGTTCTTTCCTGATTGTTTCATGCAAGTTCCTCTACTACTACTTGATATTTCATACGTTTTTGTTAAATAACGATGAATATTATTGACATATTAAATGATACCAAATTAAAGGTGATTTGGTTGCAGCATTTGCGTTTTCAATGTTTAATGGAACATCAGCTAGACAGTTGGAGAGTGAGATTAATGGCTATCGACAAACAATTCGACCGTGTAAAAGCGACGCCGATTGCTGAGATATTTTGTGTGCTGGACAAGGCGGTGTACCTGCGCTTTGCGTCGTCGGCGTTTGTGACTGCGGCTAACCGGAAAACAAATATTCCGGTGACTTTGATTTCAAAGAGTTGTGTCCATGACTGTGTTATTCAATAAATACAAATAAAGACTTCTAAAATTATTCGAGTGTCTTCTTAAAAACCTTGGAAAGCTATAACTAATGCATGGCATCCATATGAACCAACCATTTCAACCTTTTGTCGCGGGTTAGATTTTACGACGAAATCAAGTTGAATCGAATTTAAATTCGTGTTAATAGAAAAGAAATACGATGTTCGGACCTAATCGTACAATAACATTGGAGTGGAGTGAGCAGACACACGCCTGAGAAAAAGTGTATAGAGAAGCTCATTCCACGAATCGGGCACTTCGGGCAAGCACCAATGGCTACAATCTTCACCGGGGGGTTCCGTTTCGTTCCCTCGCCCGAAATGATACAAAGATGTATGCCCATCTTGCCTTGTAAATGTCATGGGAGTCACATTCATCGTTTCAATCACCCGCGGATGCTTCTTCGACAGTACATGACTCAGTATCTCGACATGTTCTTCGGTTTAATCAGGATACGAACCGAAATCGGGCAATTTTATATGGTGACAATGTCCACCGTTGCTCCAGCTACCACCTCTGTCACATGAAACCAATTAATCGGTGGTGAGTTAGATCCTCTCATCATATGGTAAGTTCGATGCAGAATGATTCAAACCTGAAATGTTGAGGAGCATAGGTTCGGAAATAAACTTGGGTCTTGCTGGTATTTACTTGACCATGAATAAAGTCGAGTAAAGTTTCGATTGATTTCCGAAATGCGGCTGTGATGTCCATGTTTAAATTCATCTCCATTCCTTGTTGGAAATAGCAGCCGCTGCAACAACGATTCGAAAGATGAGGCCATGAGGGGGCATCCGTTGATGTTTGTGGTATAAACCAAGACCATGGGTGATGATTACCGGTTCGTGGTCTTGTCATGGCTCCACCAGTGACCAGTGTTGAAAACCAGCACGTCTGCATCAACCCATCGACGCCAAGTCCGGTCCATAAGGTCCAGTCTCAGAGTCATCTTAACGGCCTTTGGAGCTCCTCTTGGGGCACTTCCTTGAGCCACTAGAAATGGGGCTCTGTAATATTCAACCGTGAAGTTGTAATCCGCAAACCTGAAGACCAAGAAGCCTTTGTGCTTTGTGATGGGGCTTCCGTTAACCTCGTGCATTGAATCCTTGTTGGGAATTGCAGAGCTAAGCATGCAGAGCATGGACTCCCATTGGTTCCTCCCGATTGAGTCACCTACAAATGCAATGCGCCGGTTCCTTAGCTTTTCCAGCATCTTCGTTGCATTAAATCTGTACCCCAAACAAATAGAAAAACCAGACCTTAGAAGAAAGAAAGATCTAATTTTGATTTTAGTCCATCTATTGTACTAAAATTTTAGTCCATAAATAAACCAAAAAGAAGTTTAACTAATGGAGGACAGGAGGTCATGGAAACCACTATAGGCAACCGACATTATTATATTAACTACAATGAATCTTTTCTTTTGTCTCTTTTGACTGCTAAAAGAAAGCTAGTGCGATGAACATAAAAGGAAGATGAAAAAGACCTGGGCAAATTGCAAGCTTTGGGTTGCCAACGCCACTTAGTGTAGAAACTATCAGGTCTACCGTTCTTCGAACAACGGAAACCGTTGTCAATGAAAGGGCAATGCTCACTATGATAAGGTGGATAGTTATCGTCCCAACCCCATCTCCCATCATAAACATCACACTCGAGGCGTTGATCTACATCTGATGCCGGTGATGATGCAGCAGAGCTAAGTTTAAACCAAGGGAAGAAGAGAGCCTGGTGGTTTAAGTAAACGAAGCAGGCAATTAAGAGACAAGAAGCCAGAGTGAAGGGTTCAACAAGGTTGGATTTCTTGGAGAAATCTGAGTCTTGTTTAGTTGCGTTCTTTGTCATCCTTAAGAACGTTAAAAAGCAAAAGAAAAGAAAAAATCAAAGCTTCTGGAGAGAGATCTCAAGGTTTGGTTTTAGAGAAGAAAGTTAGATTGCAGGCTGAAGATGCCATGTGAGGATCGGAACTGATTAGCGGCAGTTTTTGGACCTCATGTTGGTACGGTCGTGGGTAGAAGAAAACGTTGGGGGAAAAGTGAAAAGGAACCCCGAACCGACACAGTAGTGCTTTGCTATTTTAAGGGTAGGGGAATTCCAAGATCTGCAATAACAAGATATGCTTTTCCAATTATGAAGATATATTTGAATATTTCATTTACGTCAACTTCATATTCGTGGGACAAACAAGCCTTCTTTGTTATCAACTAAATTGGGTCAGGTTTTTTTTTTAAAAAAAATTGAGTTCGGGTTGGATTTTATATTAAAATATTTGGATTTGGGTCGGAATCGTGTTTAGGATTAAAATAATCTTACCCGACTTAGATTTATAATGGACTAAAAATACGACTCATGTCCATCCCTATATAAATATATATATATATATATATATATATTCATATTTTTTTTCATATGTGATATACATATATCTTACAAATTTGAGATAATCAACTCAAACTTAAAAATTTATCCACTAATTATTAAAAATTTAGAGTTATTCGAGTTACTATTCAAGTTATTCAAATTATATTTTATAACTCGATCTAAACTTGAAAACTTTTTTGAGTCGAATTAAATTTACGAAATTACAATTGAAAATTAATTTAAGTTGAGTTTTCTCGAGTCTAGCAAAAAATCGATTTTTCAAATCAAATTAAATTTTTTTACCCCTGGTTGCAATAATTCGGCATTGCACTATACTACTTGACATCGATACACGCCTTTGGCAGGAACAGACCCAATTTGTAACAGTTCAATAAACTAAATGATCCGTTTGTAATTTTTTAAAATTCAATGGCCAAAATAATCGTTTAACAATGATTCACCTATCTATGGTGAACTTTACCCATAAAGTAACAATTGACCAATCAATGCTGAGAAAATACAAGCAAGCTTAACTAATATTCTCGTATATGGCTATTTGATAACTCAAATATATAATAACATCAATCATCTTTTAAGTACCAGGCTCAACATTCGACATTAACATGATCTTCATCTCACACTCACAGTCCAAGATTGCAAGATCGCTTCCTATTTTTTACCGCCTCTCGTTCTAAAAGCAACAGATGGGAAAAGAAATAGACTACATGCTCACCTACAGCATGCGATATCGGGAACCTCAGGATTCATGATTAAACAATCCAAACCCAGGCCATTAATCATACAAGACGGTAAAATCAATCCTAGAACAAAGCTGTCTACACATCAGACTGACACAAATATTTGGAAGCAAAGGAACAAAGTTAACGGCCTCGACCGCGTCCCCGTCCACGGCCACGACCACGACCACGTCCCAAAGGCTTCCCTGATTTTGAAAATGCATTAGGAAGACCAACAATACTCAAAGAAAGAAAGAATAAAAGCTTACACAAGAAGGAAACTTTCAGATAGGGGAAAATGGAGCCAGAAAGAAATAGCAATACCAGCTGTCGGCTTCTTGGGTTTCACCCTAGGTGTCTCTTCAACCAGCAATGTCTCAAGATTTAAGCTGTCAGGTAGAATATAGTAGCGAATGTTGTTACCCCTCACGCTAAGGTGATCTAAACTCACTGGGTTTTTCCCCTTCAGTGTAAGTTTCACTGTTTTCAGATGGGTGTTCATACTGACATCCACACCTAAAACAAGCACATCAAATCAAATATTCAGAAAACTTGCATGCTAAAATGTTATGTTCAACAAGGAAATCCCTATGGTATAACCAATTTTAAAATTCAATACTCATGGTAAAAGCAGATTCTATCCAAATTAGAAACATAATCATCGGTTTCATACGAACTCCCACAATTCAATAAGCCGAAGAAGAGAATATGACAAACTAAACAAATATAATCATGTTACAAGAAGCCATCCAATAAACAACATGAAAAGAAAGTGTGCATATAGTAATAGTCTCAGCACATACATCAAAGTATGCAAATGAGACAATTCCATCTTATACACATAACCAACTAATAACAAGACACCGTATGTGCGAATCAATCTGAATGCTAAATAATTTATCGAATATAAGCTGCCTCTCTAAAACGTTCGATAGACGTAAGCATACCAAGTCCAAAACCAGTTCAACTCACAAGGTGATAACAAGTGCTATCGTCCATGAACACCTAATCTATCACATATTTTAAAGTTTGTTATACCAAAACGAAAGGTGCAGATTTCACAATTGAGAAGGGAATTACATTATTACGGTGAGCATTACTCATTGTAAGAAGAAAAAAAATGGAAAACAGTCAACCCTAAAAATTTATGGTCGACAGAGAAAAATATTTAGCAAATAATCTTCCGAATTTACGACTTCGCTAAAACGAAGGATTAGGGTTTAGCTAAACCCTGACGAGGATTAGAAAAGTGGAAGGGAATCAAAAGGAACCTGTAATGGTGCCGTGAACAACGGTTCCATTCTTGAGCTCAATCGAAACCGTTTCATTGTTCAACTTCATCAAAAACCTGCTCAATTTGTTTATTTTGAAATCAGGTCCATTATATTAACCATCAAAAAATAAAATCTCCACATGAATTCGTACAAACAAAGAAAATGCAAAAAAAAAAGTATAAAAAATAGTGATAATCAACAAAATAACCTGACGAGCTTCATGTTAGGGGAGAGTTAGGGCTTGAGGCAAAGGCGAGAGAGGCTATGGAACTGTGCGAGTAAGCGGAATAATTTAAGGCTTGGGCCAGTACTGATATATTGAGTTTATTAAAACTAAAACGACGTCGAAGCAATAATAGCTGCCTTGGGCCAGACTTCTATTAGGTATGTGCCCAAAATTCTGCTGCAGACTTCTATTGTAGAATAAATTTTAGGTTGAAATTTGATTATGGTCCCTTTAACTTGCTTATGTTTGTGTTAGGTCTATGAATTTAATTTTCATATATTTTATTTTGTATAACCATCTAAATCCAATTTATCGATTAATTATTCCGATCAGGTATTGCATTGACCCATTACGGAGCCAACCCTCTTAATTCCTAACAATTCTTAAAGATTACAGTAATTTACCTACTAAATCAACTGGCTCTCTCGACTTTAAGATGATGTTTTATTAAGTCTCATAACTATTAAAAGTTATAAAATGATTATTTTATTATAGAATGTTGATTTGTTGAGCCCATTGACTATTAAAAGTTATAAAATGGTCATCTGACTATTTATTATGTTTTAAACTCGTTTTTTTTCATTAACAAATTAATTGTCGTTTGATCTGAACGTTAATATGATGACTGAGATATAATATTTGTTTGAGAATCTGAGATCGAATTTTATTATATCACAATCAACTTTTTTAAACGGAAAAGGACGAGTTTGAAACATAATAAATAGTCAGATGACCATTTTGTAACTTTTAAAAGTCGGGAGACTAAATAAAGAATCACCCTATAGTCGGGAACCATTTCTATACTTTACCCTTTAATCATCTACTTTTATAATATTGTTATTTAATCTAATAATTAATATTTTTCAAAATGAATACATAACCCATACACAATTAAGATAAACTTTTATTTGGAATTCAAGAAAAGTACTGCATCATACAAATATATACATACACCATGCTGCTGAATGCAGATTAATCTTTCATAGCTTATTACTCACAGATTGCAGACATCAATCAATTCTGAAAGGTAAAAAGAAGAAGTTTGAAAAGCAGTGTATGTAATGAACCAGGGCCATGGCCGTATAATCTAAGCATTAGACGTGAAGTTGAAGTTGGAGCAAGTAGTTCGCCTGCCCAAGAGTGTAGCACTGAAACCCAGCCTTGAAGTTGCCAAATCAAACTGCAGAAGAGTGTTCTCCAATTGGTGCCCTCCAATAACAATGGAAGTCCTTGGGTTCGATCCGCCATTAACAAATCCAAGGCACAACACATCCGTGCTGACCTCAACCATGGAGTTCGCACCAAAAATCCTCCAAAACACGTCCTGGTTCTGCAACACGAGATCGATTGATGGCACAGCTGGTCCTAAGCGCGTGCTTAAGATGTTGCTCGAGCTGAAGCACACTTCAAATGGCGCAATGCCGGGGACCCTCGTGATGTTCATGGCAGCGGCTTCGTTAATGAATACCTCGGTGGCGACTTTGAAGATCGAAGCCTCGAGGACGGTGTAGGGATCTACTGTGCTGATTTTTGTGCCCCCGACACCTTGATTGTCTATGGATAATAACGTTGTGTTCAACGAGACGGTTTTTTTCATTCACTTTGATGGACTTTACGCCGATGAAATATTCGGCGGAGGGTTCGCCCATGGGGAAAGCGGAGGCAGTGCTGATGGGGTTGATGAAAAGTGGTGTGAAAGTAAGCGATTGTGATGCATCGATTCCAGGGAGGAACACGTATGGACCATCTCCGAAGAAAATGACACCAGTTGCCAAGGTTGAAGACGACAGGCAAACGGCGAAATTCCTATGGAAACTAAAGGCGGCAACGAATTGTGAAGGGAGCCCAATTCTAGTCCTCCCCAGCCCAGCCATGCCGGCGACACCGTTAGCCAGATCTTGAAGCAAGAAAGTGGGTGCACAAGCGAAAAGGAACCTGGGTACACTGACCACCCTACCGGGATTCCTCCCATCGGTTGATTGAAGAGACACGACATCTTGGGCAACCTCACCGGAGGTAGCTGTGTGGGTCACCGAGTTATCAGGGGTGACGCCACATGTGTTGTTGTTGCATCCCGGCCTTGATGCCGAGAAGCAATCTCGGCAGCCATTGGCTCCGGCCAACGAGCATTGCGCTGAACGGCACCTGGCGGGACGGTACGTCGAAGAAACGTAATCCCGTTCGCAATCAACCCACATAAACCTGCCACCGAGATCGACAACGAGGTCGACGGGCTCAAGGGGTTTCCTTTGGTCAATGGTGGTGAGGTATGGAAGTGTAGAAGCATCTTTAGCGACGGGGATCACCAGTGCCTTGGGGCGGAAAGACTGCTGAGCTAAAGATGGAGAAGAAATGTAAAGTAACAGACAAGTGAAGAAGAAACACCGAAGGGAAGCCATGGGTGTGTACAAATCTCGATATGATGAAAGGGAGATGAGTGCTGAAAATCAACGTTGAAATCAAGCTATATTTATAGCTGAGCTGATTGCTGAAGACACGCTTCCCACCGCCTGAAGGTCAAAGCAAGCTGCTACAAGCAAATGCTAGCCAGCCAGGTGCGGTGGACGTGACGGCATAGATTAGAGAAATCTGGACTTTTGACCATATTATCTTAATCCATTTGCACTTGAACTATTAATCAACTTTAAATTTTGTATAATTTATATTTTTTTATTTATTAGATTTTATTATCATGATATTATTCATTACTATTTTTAATTAATTATTTGTAATTGATTTATTAATCAATTAATCTATATCGGTTTTTGTAGAGACTTGTTATAAAAATGATCTTCTTAACCCAAATTATTTTATATACAAACATAAGATTCGAACACTTAATTTTATTTAAATAATTTAATACCTCGTCCTACATACGATATTTCAAAGTGTTATGCTTTTTATTATATCAATAAGATATTATCTTGTAATAATTGATTATCATAGCTGACAAAATTGTTTTAAATAATTCAATTTTTTATTCCAAATAAATAAATTGTTTATCAATGTTATTTTTCTTTCATAATTCAATCTATTTCAGTATTAAATTCAATATTTTTATTAAAATTATATTGTTCATTCATTTTTAGTTTTTTTTATGATTCTTTTTAGTTATTAGTGATAGTTTTATTCTTGAATTTGTTAGAGAATTTAGTCCTTAAACTCTTTGTCTCTTTTAACTTTTAATTTTTTTATCCAATTTAATATTTTAAAGAAAAAAAGTAATAAATCTATTAAATTAATGTCGATTATTTTTTTATTAATTCCAACGAATTATTTTTCTTTCCACATGTAAGATGGAACAAAAGTTTTAGAAGGTTTATATTTAGGAACGATCATTATATTTTGTCACTCATTATTAGATTCAATTTGAATTTAAAAAATTATCTGATCTGAAAATTGAATTATTTTTAAGATATATATTTAAATTTGATTCAATTCAACACATAAATATATAATTCTTATTTTTATTTAATAAAATAAAGATATAATTAAAAGTATATATATAAAAAGAGAAATATCATTATAATTATCATTAAATATAGGAGAGATAATTGTATTACCGTACGAGGTCTAAGATCTTTTAGTCTCATCATAAACTCAAATATTTGATCTTATAAGATTTGATTAGGTCAAAATCCGTCTCGTCCGAATAACATTTATATCCCTAATTTTAGAAGATTTGCATTAATAATTTTAGATTTTAAGGAGGTTATGAGTACAAATTTGAATAAAAATCTCATAACTTGGTAGCAAGTAGCTATAGATGTATATATGTTCCGCATACGAAAGCTGGAAAAAGCAACCGAAAAAGATGAGCTAACGAGCGTCGGGTGCATCATAATCGCCATCGACCTTGGCATGAGTAGGTGACGCTGCATTTTTCGTCGACAACGACGGTATACTTATGATTAGGCCTCCAAAGGAAAGGCGGCAAATGAACCAGAATCTCTCACACACACACAGAATCAATCTGCTTCAGCCATTCACAACAGTAGCATTGTTCCGGTGTCTCGTGAACCCCATGCTTATGCTTGTGCCTGTGCCTGTGCCTGTGCGATCCACTACCCTCATCTCCATCTTCCGACGTCGGGGGAGGGGGAGGCGGCGGCGGCATCGGAAGTATAGGCACCATCGCACACGCGAAGTTCACCAGCTCGATTTGGGACCTGCAGAGTGGATGGCCGAAGGTTATTTGCTCGGGATTTAGGGTCAGATTATTTGACAGTGCGGCGAAGAAGATGGAGAAGAGAGAGAATATAGTAATCCCGAGCTTGGCTGCCATCGTGGAGAGCTTTTTATCTTCAATATTGGGTAATTTTTGGACCTAAAAAAGAGGGGATTTGATGCCTCAGCATTGGTGTCCATTTCAATTTATACTCCATGAACTTGTTGAATAAGAATATAGAAACAGGGGATGACCAAGAGAATGAGGTGATGGTTTGGAAGAGTTCGGGTTCTCAACGGGTTTATCTGTTCATTCATTTATAATGCATTCCTATCATATGAAGATTTTGTTAGGTGAAAATTGTGTTAATAACATACATGCATGCACTAAAATGAAATATTATTACTAGGGTAAGATACACAAATAGTTCCGAATTAGATATCATTATTTGTTGAATCTCCGACTATTAAAAGTTATAAAATGATATCCGACTATAGTGTGTTGCTTTATTGAGTCACCGACTATAAAAGTTTTGAAATGGTCACCCGAATATGTTCCAAACTTGTAATTTTCTATCAAAAATTGACGATTGCCAGAGCTGGATGTTTACTTGTTGACTAATATATGATAAAATATGATCCCATAATTATTTGAATTATATTTTATAGATCGACTATCCGTTTACATTATGTCGCCAAGCCAGTGTTTGAAAATAACGACGGTGCTAATAAACATCATAAAAATATTATTTTATCATATCTGAGTCATCAGGTTAACGTCAAGTTCAAACAACCTTTAATTTTTTAAAGAAAAATGACGAGTTTGGAACATATGAATAGTCATGTGACCATTTTATAACTTTTAATAATCAAAGACTCAACAAGATAATACCATATAATCGAAGGATTATTGTATAATTTTTAATAATTGAGATTCTCAATAAAGTAGTGTCTAGGTATCATTTATATACTTTACCCTTATTATTGCTATTAAAAGTCAACTTGGTAAATATCAAATTTTAATCTTTATCTTAATCAAATATATTATTTGTTTTAACTTTCTAGTGTTCTAATTTAAAAGAAAATACTCCAATATTAGTAAATTAAGGGAATCTCAAAATTTAGTTTTGATGAGATTTTATTTTTATTTTTATATGTATTGAAAATAAATAAATGATATTAAATATTTAATGATTAGGAAATCAAAATGAATAAAATTAAAAGATTTAGTGATAAAATTCAATTATTTTAAGTTATGTGACTAAATAGAAACATATTAAAAGTTGAGTGAGGAAAAAATAGGAGTTTACCCATAAAATAATTATAAAATACTAGTAGCCACTCTTCTTCTCCAAAACTCTCTCCTCGTCCTCTTATATTTTTCCGATCATTCTCCCCTTATTGTTTGAAAAGAGAGGTTATTTCTCTTCTTTTTTTCGTCGTTGATTTGTGCTTCTAACTTTCCTGGAAAAAAACTATTTTCTTTTTCCTTTCTTACGGTGAAATTCTGTCTTTTTTTTCCTCTGCAGCCAAACAGAGCATTGTTTCTCAAGTTGTCTTTCCTTCGTTTGATGTTTGGATTGCTTTCTAATTACTGTTGTTCTCTTTTCTAAATTAATAAATCTAATAAGGAAATTATTAATTTTAAACGAAAAATTGGTCTTGTATCTTTTTAATCTCCAACCATGGCACTAGGGTTTCTGTTTTTGGTTTATCTGATTCTATAATACTTGTATTTTATATTAATCCTATTTTCTTCCTTTGTTTTTCTCCATTATGCTGGAAGAAATTTGATCACTTGAAGGTCACTTCACATGTAAATTGTAAAACATGTTATTTTATTGTTTCTTCGATTCTGTTTGAAATAAACTATTGGTAGTTTTACATTTGCTTAACACGATTACAATTATGGTTCTCATCGTGCATACTTTATAAATATTGTGTAAATTTTGTTACTTTATCTGCAGGTAGCTTTCCAGAATGGGATTTCAAAAGGTTTATAAATGCTTGATGCAAATATTCCCGCAGGTACTTCTTTTAACTCATTTAACCCAATACTGTCATTGATTTATAAATGTGCGTGCGTGTGTGTATATATACACCTTGATGTGTGTGTGTGAAGCACAAAGTAGTAATTTGGAAAAAGAAATGTAGCAAATATGCAGTAAAAATATTTTTCTTACACCCTTCTGCACAGGTTGATTCGCGTATTCTAAAAGCTGTTGCTATTGAGAACTCTAAGGATGTGGATGCAGCTGCAGAGATTGTTATATCTGAGATTCTGCCTTACATGTCTAGAAAAACGGTGGCTGCTAGTTCTTCCTCACGGAAACCTAATCCTCGCCTGCCTCCAAGTAGAGGTATTCTTTTTCATGATTTGGTTCTCGAATTGTTTTATTCTAAATAATGCTCAGTACTGTGGATGCAGTGTTGTTGTAGAATTAGTTGTTTACCTGTATGTTCAGTACTGTGGATTAGAGGGTAACTGCCATTTTGTCCATTTCTGTCTAGTAGTAGTCTATTGGGACTTATTCATTCATTTCACCTTTTTACTGTCATATTTTTTTTTGGTTGAACTTGAAGCTTTTGATGAGGAAGAAGGCAATCAATTGAGGCAGCAAAAGGTATTGTTGGTGAACACAGCATGTTCTCCTACAGATCCATTGTCGGAATCAAATGAAGTTCTCGGAGCCATTGGTCTTGCAGGTGCCACTACCGGTGTGGGTTCTGTTGAGGCATCAAGTGCAGCGAGTACTTCAAAAATCCATGAGAACAACAATAATGAGCCTGCTGATGTTGAAACCGATGAATTGATTTTGTTGGGGACCACAGAAAAATGTGCTGAAATTGGGAAAGCTAAATCTATTGTCAGCCTGAGTGCTTTAGGGATTGATAATCTTCTGCCTTATGTGAATCTTGAAATTAAGGGGTCTGGGTCTAAAGACCAAACCGTAGCCATTGAAGATGGGATTGTGAGGACTCCTCATGCTTCACCAGACACAGCTGATAATTCCACCTCACTTCTGGAGAATACTGATAGCAGTGGCAGCTATAATGATATTTTAAATTTATATGGGCCTGTAGATCTGAATGCTGTTTCATGCAGAAACAGTTCATTCAATGGAATCTTGATAGGGGAAGAAAATGCCGAGGCTCTTCTTGTTCCATCATCTTCTCTAGAACAAATGGCAGAAGCCCTGGGAGCTGGCCTTCATTCTGAAATCAATGATCACTCTACTGGTTCTGAGAAACTAGGAGGAGGTTCTATAGAACTGAAATCCCAGCAGGATCCCATCAGTGATATGGGCAATATTGAGGATGATACCATCAATCCTGTTGTTAGTAGGTCTAGTCAAACATGCAGAATTGATCTACGTGAAGAGGTCATTGAAGATGCTAAAAATAGCGAGGTACTCTTTGCTCCAAACCTTTAACTCTCTTTTGTTAAATTTTGATGCTAAATGGGTATGAGAATGAATCCTCTGCCATGATAACTGTGTCAGTTGTGGCATGATGTACCTATTAGGTTTTGAATTCCGATGCTATTGCTTATATAAGAAGCTATTCATTATGAAAAGTTAGTTCATTTTTTCTTTTGTTTTATTTCGGGAGGGCATATCCTTAGCTTACCATATTTTGGCGTAGAAAAACTTGTTTCAGGCCATGCAGTCGATATTGGATTTGATGAGAGAAGTTGTACTTCAAGAGGAAGCTGCAGAACTAGCAAAAGAAGAATGTACCAAGGGTGGTTTAGATATTCTCGTCAAGGTGGAGGAACTTAGACAGATGCTGGCACATGTAAAGCATGCAAATGACATGGTCGTGCACTTGTTAACAGTCACATTTTTTTAATTACTGTTAAGAGTATAAGATTATGTAGCTCTATGATTCTTTATAGAGTATGAAAGCTCAGTTAATGTTATCTCTTTTTCAGCATGCTGGACAAGTATTTGGGGAGAAGGCAATTCTAGTCGCTGAAGGAAGGGAGCTTCAAAGTCGCTTGTTCAGCTTATCAGAGGAAAGAGATAAATCTCTTTCTATTCTCGATGAGGTATTGTAGGAACAAATTAAATCATCCGGTAGATATTTAGTAGAAATATTGCCTTGATATGATTTGCTTTGGTATGGTTCATTTGTTTGTTATCTGTATGCCATAAATTATCTTTATATTGATTGTTCAATATGTTTATCCATGCATGAGGCATTGGAGAAGTTGGACAAATTTTATGACATATATCATCTTGTGCAATGAACTAATGTTCGGTTGACTTTCTTGTCCTGTGATAAATCAACCATTTCTTGAAACAGATTCATCACAGAACAAGTTTCTTTAGAGATTTGTACCGTAGATCATCCTGGGGATTTATGGTGTATTTAACCAGGAACATGATATGGGCAAGACATTGAGCTAGTTATACTCATTCTTTTACCTGTATGCTTCTATCCGCAGATGCGTCAAACCCTTGAAGCTCGGGTAGCTGCTGCAAAGGAGTTGATGAAAGTAGCGGAGCAGGAGAAGCTGGAAAAAGAAGAATCAGCCCTTGGTGCTCTTGCCAAGCAAGAAGCTATTATGTCAAAAGTGGTTCAAGAGTCCAAGATTTTACAGCAGGAGGCAGAAGAAAATTCCAAGGTAGCTTTCATTTCTATGTAGTCTGTATTACCTCTTACTAGTCTTAAAAGTTTGAAATAGATTACTTATTCGAACTTACTATTTTCTATGTTACGCTCTACTGCAGTTACGAGAGTTTCTTATGGACCATGGTCAGATTGTTGACTCGTTACAGTAGGTTTTCTTGTCCGGTTATTTACTTTTATCAATCAGCATGAAACATTTTCCTCATACCATTCCTGATTTATGAGTTTGTTATAAAACTGTTGACTGGTGGAAGTTTTGAATTTGCAGTTAATTTGATCTGTTATTGGTAGTAACAAGAACGTAAATTTGCAGTGGGGCAGATATATGAATCACAGTATATATGATAGTGTTCGTCTGGTATTTAGGATCCATCGGCACCAAAAATATTCAATTCCTTGTGATAGACTGGGTCGATACATGAATCATATTTATTATTTTGTGGATATATTTCAAACTATCTTTGTGTTTTTAACATAACAGCTCCGATTTTCTGTTCATCCTTTCTTCAGGGGAGAAATATCTGTTATTTGTCAGGATGTGAGATTGCTTAAAGAGAAGTTTGATCAGTGTATCTCGTCGAGCAAATCCATATCCTCAAGCCGAATCGGCTGCATCCTGGCTTCCCCCAGTTCATCTCTGGAAAGCACGGCCGGATATCTTGGTACCGAGCAGGGAGAGACAGCTAAAACCCTAGAGAAGAGAAGCCTAACACCACCCGTCGATGTGCAATCACCGAAAAGTAGATCATCGGACGAATGGTTCAAAGCTGATGACAAGGACCTAATCGAATGGTACAAAGCTGATGACAAGGAGCTAATCGATGAAGAGTGGGAATTTTTCGATGATGCCGAATTCAATATAGCAGCACAGTGAAGCTATCTTAATCGTTGATGAAACATAATCAAGTCCCATCCCTCGGCTATAAATGGCTTTTACAAGTTCGCAGTTTGATGTTATAACAATGTGCATGCATGTAATATATATATATATATATATGATGATAATTTAAAAGATACCGGAACAAAAACGATATGTAATATATATATGATGATAATTGCAATGTGAACTATCACACCTCAATTTCGCTAATTAAATTAACGGTTTAGTTAATAATTTTATTTAAAAAGTAGTATGAAATCAGATTTAATTATTTTCACCGTGTTGGGGGCTGAATTTACCTCTAGAAAAAACCAAGAAACAAAAATATTTTACTTTAAATAATAATCTGCCATCCAATCATTCATGAATGGATATGATAGAAACAAGTACGGATGTTGTTTGATAATTTAATGTGAACTAACACAAATATCTGGGAATTTTATGCAGATTTCGGTATATAATAAATGTCAATTTGATGTAAAGCAAAAAGATTTTGTTGTTTCAATATCCCACGCATTATGTTGTGAAGCTGACTCGTGGCTTCCTCTCAATGACTTTCAACCCAATTCAAGTCATAAAGAAAAATATTTAGTTTTAATTTTGTTCGTATCTGATTTACAATTCTTATCATGTTTACTTATTTAAAATTTAGGATAAATTACACGTTTTAGTACTTAAATTATCAATTTTAATCAATATTAATACCTAAACTTCTGATTTTTTAAAATTATATTTAATATTTAGTTTTTGTTCATTCAAAATATCCGACATTAAAAATTTAACGGATGGACTCGTCGATCATCGCGTTTATAGTTGATGGTCATCACATATGTTGATCGATGAAGCCTAAAATTTTCAGTTCACACCTTTTTCAACCATCTGAACGTGATTTCGGCCTTCGTTCCACCGTCAAATGTCTCAATCTCCTCGAATCGATAATGGAGTATTCGGCTTCGGTCTTTGTAGTCAACTATCCGATAGACCTGAAACTAAACTATATTGATCGACTCATTATTCTCTCCCGGTCCACCGTTTAAATTGGTCGTCCGTTCACTAAAACTTTATCCCGTTAATTCGTATATTAAGTTTTTAACGATTAGTATTAAAATAAAATAAAAATTAAACGTTAAATATAATTTTAAAAAAATTAAAAATTAAAATATTAAAACAGATCAAAAGTTATAATTTAAATATTTCATACCATACACTTCGGACCCAAGTGCTCATACGTCAAAGATCCTCTTTTTCATAATGGCACTTGTTATCTCCATATGCTTCCACTTGTATGAGCATCACTCGTGCTTAGCTGAGTTAAATTTTTATTCCTTTAAAAAAATAAAGGCGCACTCGCCTCCCATCCAACACGTGGTTCCCTCAAGATATTTTGGAGCCCCGAAAAAGATATATCGTATTTCGCGATATCCGCGACGCGTAACGTCTGACGTTAGATTCTCCACCACGGCATTCCACGCAACGCCCTTTCAACACGCGTCTACCTTGCTCAATCGTCACCCACCACGTGTTGAGAGTACTCAGAGAAGTAATCATCCATTTGGAACACGACACGTGTACCTTCGTTTTACTGAGTTTTAGACCTCTGATATTTAGCCTTTTAGGCTCGTTTTAGTACCATCGCTGTCTGGTTATTCAGTGTTCTGTTCTGCGCTTCTTCAAGAAAATGAGTGCCACCCAAAGGCGCAGGCTTAATGATGAATCCGAGTTTGATGGCTCGGGGATACTGAACGAGCGAATTCTTCTACTCGTCTTCGAGTCTGTCAAATGGGACTTACAGGTCCTATGTTTAGTTTCTTCTGTGAACCAAAAGCTTCGAGCTATAGCCAAGAGGATTCTATGGCGAAAGCTCTGCGTGTATCGAGCACAGCGGATGGTTCCAGCATTGGCAAACGGTGCCCCCAATGGAAGAATTGGTGGCGGGTGGGATGCGCTCGCGAAGCTCATGTTTTTCTGCAGCGGCTGTGAGTCAACTCGTCATTTCAACGTGAGTCGGCCTACTCCGGGTCATTTCGCCCGATCTTCTCGGTTTTCCAAGACGTCGGGTCGGAGCTTCTTGGCGAAAAGGTGCCGGAGTGATCTGTTGTTCGTAAGTGATCCCTGCGAGCATCCGGTGGGGGGTAACGAAGACCATCTGGGGATATACCGAGGGGTATTTCGGGGATTCATGAGATCCAAGACCAGAGCTTGCTTAGTCAGACGGCAAGTAGCGTTCGAAGAGAGCGTGAGGTGTCCTTATTGCGGGACCCGAATCTGGAGCATGACGGCGGCTCGGCTCGTCCCGAAGAGCGCGGCTGGACGGCTCGGTTCCGGAGACGGACGGCTGGAGTATTTCGTTTGTGTAAACGGGCACTTGCACGGCGCTTGCTGGCTCATACCACTGTCGTCCGATGAAGAGGTCTGCGACGATGGAAGCGAAGAAGATCTGGACGGTGATTATGAGATCGACGGGGACGCGTGTAGCCATCAGACGGTGACAGACGGAAGCTCGAGCTCGTTAGGGGAAGATGTTTTAGGAGGTGGACCCATCGATTGATTGCTAGTTCTAGTTGCTAAACTTATAAGTAGAGAAATTTTTTGCGAGTATTTTAGGGGGGGGGGGGGGGGAGAGAGAGTAGCGGATCACATCGTCCATTGTTTCGTTGGTCTATATCATTTTCTCTTTCCTCTTATTTGATGTAAAATATGACGTGTCGATGATGGATTGGGTCCCATGATTGTGCATCTTCTTACTAAATAGAGACTGATTTTATTGGGATTGAAAATTGAGATTCATGTATTTATTGATCGATGGATATGGAGGTCTTTCTTATTGTATCATTTATGTGCCCAATCTAATAATAAAGGTCATCTATCTATCTAAATTTTTTTATTAGTACAAATGATAGTAGCAACTACATAGTTCTTAATAAGGTCTCTCGATCAGCCTGGAAAAGTTCCCTTACTGCATCAAGAGGGGAGTAGAATGAATGGAAGTGGAAAGGTAATGACCAAGCAGCTTTCGGCAATTCGTCGGCAAGCATGTTACAACCTCGGAGGTGAAGATCAAGACAGTATTCCAAGGACGTTCAATGATCTCACAGGTGCGCATCACCAATGGGGAGCTAAAACCAAATTCTGCCCCGGAGCAATTGCCGAAAGCGCCTGTTTGCTGTCCGATTCTACAACCAACTCTTGAATTCGCAAATCCTGGGCTAGACTCAGTCCCACAAAGATTCCCCATAACTCAGCATCCAAAGTTGAGCAAATACCAACGGGTTTGGAAAACCCAACCCAGCTACCAATTGAATCACGAAGGACTCCACCACACGTACTAAGTCCCGAATTCGATCGCCTGGAGCCATCAGTGTTTAGTTTGAGCCAACTCTGTTGTGGAGGTTGCTAATTCGGTGGTCGTTCTTGATTCCTTCTCGTCGACAGGTGGACGAGTCGGGCTCGGAGAAGCTCTTGGTGCATTCGTAAGCTTCTATGGAGCACATTCTCTGATTCCATAAACCCCGCATCGAAAATCAATCTATTCCTTCGAGTTCAGAGATTCCATAGAATCAAACCAAAGAGCAGGTCCCAATCTACTGGATTAATCGGAAACAGACACTGAGTCGAAAGATTACCTTCAACCCAATTTAGCAACTGATAAAATTCAGCTTGGTGATCAAGTTTAATTAATCTATTCCAAACATTCCTGGACTGGCTGACAAACAATCCCGGAAGATGTGCATGGCTGAATCAATTGCGGCGCCGCATTCCAAGCATCCCGCATCCGAAGACATATGCTGCCTCACACGTTCTTCGTTCGAAAGAAGGCTACCCCTGAACACAATCCAAGGGAAATTTTTAACCCGAGGGAAACTAGTATACCCAGCAATGGTCTTCCAAATCTATCTATTATCTAATTTATGTTTTAGTAATATAATAATTATTTTTTAAAATTATATTTAAATTTTATTTTAATTCTTTGTTATTAAAACATCAAGAGAAAAGTATACAAATGGTCCTTCGATTATGGGATATTATTTTATTTAGTCCCTCAACTATTAAAAGTTACAAAATGGTCATCATACTATTTATTATGTTTTAAACAAGTCATTTTCTGTAAAAAAAAAATCTGATGGTATTATGAGTTGAAATGTTAATCCGTTAACTTTGATATGATATAACTTAATTCCATAATCTGAAACGACTTCATATTCTGATAATCATGTTAACGTCCAGTTTAAACAATCGTCAATTTTTTAAAGAAAAATGCCAAGTTTGGAACATAATGAATAGTTACGTGATCATTTTATGATTTTTAATGGTTGAAGTACTTAACAAAGCAACATTATATAATCAAAGGACTGTTTTGTATCTTTTAATAGTTGAGGGACTTAATAAAATAATATCCTATAGTCGGGGATCGTTTATGTACTTTGTCCAAAAATTTGTGATTATATTCATATGTTTTTACAAGAACAAACTACTTGAAAAACACTAGATATGAGAAATCAATAATCATATTCAACATCAGCTCGTTTTATTTTTATGCAGCAAGCATTAACATTGTATCATCAAGAAACGAATGAAAAAGCATAGTTGCCGTTTGGTGGTTCCTTCTCAGAGAAACCATAATGATAAAGAGCGGCTGCTTTGTTTTTTGGTGTGATGGCGACCAATTTGAATAAACTGGTGGCTATCATTATCCATTTCTCAATGAAATATGATCACGGCGGTAGTGACGGTGGCTGTGCCGGTGCCGGCCGCAGCCTCACGTATTTTCCTAACCGCAGTCCTCCGAACTCGCTAAACATTCTCGGCGGTTCAACATTACTCTTCTTGTCGAACCGACGACCAAACCCGTGTTTATTCTTTCTCACGCCATGCTGCGGGTCCTTAACATCACCATAGGCATTTGTTTCATCAGTGAAACGACATTTTCGGTTGTTTTGCCGGTGGTTACGAGGAGAACGACGACCACGGTCGTCCGGCAACTGACTTTGAATGTCGGGATTCTTGTCATGGGAGTAAAGCTCTGCTTTTTTGCCAACCTTTTCTGATATTGTCTGAATGAGCACCGAGGGTTGCACCGTACCCCGAACGGACACCAGCCCATTTTTGGAATCTATGTCGATTTCGTACAAGTCTAGATCACAAAAATCAAACAACAACAACAACAGTAAGAAATGTTTTTGAAAAAAGTGTTGGTCATTTTAGGAAAAATACCATTGATTTTCTGCAACTTTTTCTTCACTTTCTCGGGTCATGTTGAACAACACTGGATATTCACTTTCAGAACACACGTCTGAAAAAAAAACATAAAAACATGAAAAAGAAACAATGGGTATTAAACACACACACACACATATATATATAAAGAGCAGATTAATACGGGGATATTCGGACCATCTGCCATTGGAACTTAGAGAGCCGAAGCAAAACAGAGAAAAATGAGAGTGGCTTGAAGTGTGTTGTAGCCGGCTATTTTTAAAGTAAAAATGGATGATTTTCACCCTTTTGGGTTAGAAAATATTGATTCTTCAGTCTTTCAAATGGAAAAATAATTATTGATTTCCATAAACAGTAGAAATTTAATGTGTTTAAAACGTACTTGAAGAAGATAACGCAACTGACATTCCATTCAAATCAAGGTTTGACTGTGTGTAAGTGCACAATTTCCGGAACTGAAATGGGTGATATTTGGTAAGAATTTTTGTTTTCTTTTGAAAATAACTAAAATATTTCATTCGTATGGACAAACGTCGTGCCAATGACCACTGAACAAATACAGTCGAAACTGATTATCGATGTATTCAACTAGTTATTTATGTACTTAGCGAGAGAGATGAAATCAATTGTTCGTAGAAACATGATAAAGAATTTGTGTTTATGTATGAAATTTAGTTAACATGCTAATCAATTTTTTGTTTCACCTCGATGAGAGTTTGTATATTTGGAACTCCGAATATCGCCGCGATGAATTATTATGAAAGGTGATTTTATGGTTGGGATAAAAACGAGTTGAAGAGCTACTTAACACATCTATGGCAGTCTTTGCAGAATGCTTATACTTGCCATGTTTTGGTCACAGACGCTTACCTGGATACAGAACTGCTTGGCTTTGGGATAGCTGAAAAGTGCACGAGACATGAAAAAATCCTGAAGCTTCTCGTGTCTGGATCAAATGAATTAGAGAAACGGGAACTTGATTTATCTTTTCTATCTGATTTGACGAGACTTCAACCAGAGATGTTTGGCATACATCAACAGCCTTATGATTCTTATCTAATTCATCTAAGTATCAAAATTGATTCCCGATGCCTCTACCGGACTTTTTTGGAGAAATGATGCACAATTCGAAAGTTGCCGTTAACCCAGATGGTCAAGTGGTGCTTACAGCTTGTGGGACTGAGATGAAAGACGTCCTTTCAATCGTTGCTGACTCAACTAAGTGGAGAAAGCAATCATCCCTGGTCCCGTACTTTGATCGGTATGGCAACTGACACCTAGTTCATTTATATTACATGAAATCCGAGTACAAACAAACAGGGCTTGAGATTAACTAAATGTGCTGCTCAGGTTTAATCTTGTTTTAATGTAAAACTATAAGTTGATTTCAATGTCTGAAAGGCATCTGGTGCTTGAAACATTAACTAAACAGGAAACGGATCATGAAAGCACGTGCTGATACTAACCTGTCTTCTCCACAGTTTGAAGTTGAGAGTATCGCACCTCTGAAAAGGTATGTGATTGATCATCTGTTTCAAGAATGTTTGATTTCGTCCTACCTATGTTCGACATAATATTTTTTTTCTATAAATTATAGTGGAAACTTTCTAGTTTAAATCATTGGAATTTATCTTGGTTGGAGAGATCTTGAAAGCTATGCATGCAATTGCTACGAGGCGATAATGACTAGCGAGTTACTATTCTTCATTTATATTAACTGCATTTCAGACCATTGCTATGGGATGAATACTGGAAATATGTATCAACAGAAATAGAAATTAAAACGGAGTGCTGAACAAAAATATGTACATAGGAATTAAAATGATAAACGGAATATGGGTCCTAAAAAGCGATTTGATCTTATACATTGTGGAAATGTAGAACTTTCTACAAAAACCACAGTGTTGGTACTTTCTATGAAAATCTTTTGTTCAGAATGTTTTTCTATTTCTCGTGTTCTCTTGCATCACCTCTTTTTCGACAGTCCTGAGAAAATCAAGCTGAAGCCATCACCAAAGAAGGGTGCAGGGAGAGAGATCTCTACAAGAACTATTTCCATGCATGTGAGTGCCTTATTTCCTTGATGGTTGATATAAGAGACGGCAAGGCAGAACGGCAGTTCTTTTCCTTAGGAAATCCGGCCCCGAACTTCCTCAGCTCTTGACCCAATTCTCTGCTAGCATTGCTGGGGCTGGTCTTGCTGTTCTTTTCACTATTATTTTTGAGGTTGCTTGTGGGAGGGTTCCATTTGGTACATCTAAACTATTTAGCACTGGCCTCGCCTTTGGATTAGTTTGGCTCTCGCGGGCAGTCGACCGACTGAGGGACACGGTCGTACATATCAGCAAGAATATTAGCAAGTTGGATCTGGTGGAAGAGGAGATGATTAAGAGAGTGGGGAGAAGCTTAAATCAAATCTATTTCAGAGCTGCGACCTTGATGGCTGTAGCAGTGCTGAGGTTTGTATGAACCTTCTTGAGCTGCAACATTGATCTTGGATGTGGATATCCAAAGAACAGAGGGGGTTGGAGGGACAATGGAACTTTGACTTATATGCTGCCCAATGGGGGTCTTATGATGACCTTGAGCACATATGTAGACCTGATCTCTGCAGCTTGTGTATGTACAACTATCATTATGCTGTAAATGGAGAGGTGAGAGCCAAGGAGTTTTACCGGTACTAATGCCTGCCTTGGGGGTAAAAAAGAACCATACCTTCTATGTTATGATGTTAATATAACTACCATTGTCTTTGTACTTGAAACTATGTATCCTTGATTGTAACTTGTATTTTGCATAGTTCGCCGGTAGAACCATCGAAATGCCTCCGAGTAAGTCCACCGTTGCGGTTACATCAGTAGTCCTCAGAAAAACATGGGGCCTCAAAAGTGGTCCGAGGGTTATAATATATCCACCATTCAGCTAGTGTGAGGGACATACACCACTGCCTCGAATCAGTCGTACGACTTCAAAGGTTCCAGGTTTTGCAATCGCCTATGCAGTTGGAAGAAATCAGATGCTTCAGCTCCACTAGTTTACCATCTACCTAAAGCTAATTGTTGATGTTTTTGGCTCTGTGAACCGCCTAGCCGCTCCCAGCAGGGCCAGGACATCAACAATTACAGTGGATGTAAAGAACTGAAGTGGATGTAAAGAAACTCAGAAGCTTTGTTACAAACATAAAACTTATGTCAATTAAATCCAAAACAACGAACAGGCAAGAATGGCTCAAAAAGGCTACCTACCACGAATCTCCTTTTCGACGATCTCCAACCGCAATGGTCCAACGGATAGTGTACGGCATCAACTTTATTCAGAAAACACACAAGAGAGGAAACACCAACCTGCAGAAAAAACACTTTTTTTTCTATGTAAATAAAGGCAAACATCCTCCGGTCGAACCTGAGCACAGCTACTAGTATTACATCCACCGGTTTGGCAACTCGAATCTGTACTTTAGTCTATTCCATGGACCCATCAAGAGTGGACACGACCAGAATACCAGTCAATCTGGACACCGACGATCATATTCTGCAGAACATGTTACAATCAAGCCATTACTTATAATAGTGCTAATGTTAACGTCAACGGCTTTAACATGATCAAGATGTCCATGGCAGTCTACATGTACATGGTGACGTTCAAGTGTCTCGTTTCGTACTCCACACGAGCCTGCAAAATCGAAAGTGCGATATCATTGCAGCAGGAACGAATTCTGAACAGCAAACAAAAAAAGTTACCAATCAGTGCAATTTCAGTTCCTCCTATGGCCTAAGCAGGGGGATTGTTAATTTCGTCATACGCAACAGCCGTATAAATAATTTATAGTACTTTATATATATCTTATAATATTCTCTTATGTAATTATCGTTTTCATACACATTTTAATGAATTTGAATCGAAGAATATAAATATAAACCATGTTTGAAATTAAAATAATGACACTTACAATCAATGGGTTGATTCAAATGGTAAGCAACTTGATATTGCTTAAGGTTTCAGGTTCGAGTTCTTGTGTATATAGAAAATTACCGCTGAAAGACTCATCTACCAAATCAGATGTGTAACTTGAGTCGGTCCAAAATAATTAAGACAAAATGACAAAAAATAATAATGACACTTGCAAAATGTTATTATAAATAATATATGTTCATGCAATGTTACCACAATCGTCTCTTTTTGTAATATTATATTATATTATATTTCAATAATTATTTGATAATGATTAAACATTATAATAATGCTATCATATCATTATTGTTATACGATTTCTCGTATTAAAAATATTTCAATATTTTCTTTATGCAAACTAAATTACTTTAGCGATTAATAAAATTATTGTTATTTTTTTAAATATTACGGGTTTAAGCATCAATAATTATAAAGATGATTGAACATTTATTATCAAATACTTTAAAATATTTAGAACATACATCACTTTCACTTTTGTCACCTTCTTGTCTCTATCATAATTATTATTAAAATCTTACAAAACTACTGTTTATTTATCAATTTAACAACAATGACGTAACAAGTTAATTGTATTATATAATTTTATATTTTAGTCTTGAATTATAACCAAAATATCAGCAGAATACCAATTGGATTGATTAAGCGATAAGCAGTTGATACCGCTTAAATAAGATTTCAGATTCGAATCCTTGTATATTTATAAAATCTCCGCTGAAAAACTCATCCGTCAAAATTAAATATGCGATGCAAGTAGATCTAGATTAACTAGAACAAAGCCTTGAAACCGAGACCATAACAAAAGTAATATCAGTAGAATGTTTTCAAAAAAATTTAATGGTAATTCAAAAAATAAAAAGAATATATAAAAATAATCTAAAAATCATGAACTACTAAGCTTTTCTTTTATTTTTTAACTTTTATATTATTATTATTATTATTAATATATTATATATATTTATAGCATCTTTTATTTTCAACCCTCATGTGACTGGTTTCCCGCAGAAACACCTTCCTCGGCACTGATACAAAGCTTAAACTCGTGTACTTGTAGGAAAACTTGTTCAAAGAAAAATGATTGATTATGACGTGCAAAATACCAAGTTTACATGGCATTGTACCATTGTTCAACATGACTATTATTTTCAATGACATTAAAAAGCTGTTCAATGGATTTTTTTGGGTGGAAATTGGAGCAAAACATTCTGACTGCTTACAAACCACCGGAAATTGAACAAAAAAAATTCAGTAACACCCCTTTCTCATATCACTGGCAATCATCCAAACTGGAATGGCAACTTCTTAGCTCACTACTTTGGATACCACACCAGCACCAACAGTTCTACCTCCTTCCCTCAAGGCAAATCTTTGTCCTGTTACGCATTCATGACAAGCACCATGTTAAGATGGGTCTTCTTTTCTAACATAATTTTCAGAGCTCAATAACAAGAGAAAAACATCATTCTTGGCTCAGGAGAAAAAAAAAAAGAAAAGGAATGATGTACCTGCTTCAAGGGGCACAGGTGAGATGAGCTCGAAAGTTGCAGTAACGTTGTCCCCTGGCAGAACCATCTTAACACTTTCAGGTAATTCCACTTTTCCAGTTACATCTGCCGTCCTCAGATAAAACTGGGGCCTGTAATTTGATTCAAACGCTGTATGACGTCCACCTTCATCTTTTGTGAGAACGTATATCTCTGCCTCAAACCTTTTGTATGTCTTCAAGCTTCCAGGCTTGGCAATTACCTAAACAATACAAATTTACCATCAATATATATAGATAAATATGTATATTCTTTCAACAGCTAATAATGAACATTACTGAAAAACTCTTCTATCTTGTTCAACATAAAAGATTCCTCATCATGAAAGCTTCACAAGGATTAACATGAAAACGGAAAATGTGACTTCAGAAAGCATATATATTATGGATATATTAGAGTCGCTACAAGAAGCTCTATTTGTTGAAGAACTAAGGGGATGCAAATAAAAGTCAAGTAGGTGCCATTTACCATTCCACGCTGCACATCCTCTCGTTTTAGTCCACGAAGAAGAAGTCCCACATTGTCTCCAGCCTAGTAGAAAACACGTGTAAACATACAGTTCAACACCAAATGTAAACGAGTCTTAACATGACCAAGTCTCTACAAAAGTTCATTTACCTGTCCTTGATCCAATATTTTCTTGAACATCTCAACCCCAGTAACTGTAGTTTTTAGAGGGCCACCCTGCATAAGAAAGCTCAGTTTTAGAACTGACGGTTAAAGGCATTTTAATAAAATAGATCAACAAAACCATTCATCAAACAACCCTTGTCAAGCAGACTTATTCAGAATAACGAGTTTCAGAACATTACTCAGTCCAGCAAACCTGTCTGAAGAAAATAAATACCGAGTTAAGAAAATGAAAAAATACCAACATACAAATATACCTGCGTTAACCCCAAAATTTCTACTTCTTCACCAACTTTAATGGTCCCTGCTTCAACACGACCAGTTGCAACAGTTCCACGTCCCTTCAGAAAACAAGTCAAAATGATACTCCAAAATTCAGTTTCTGTAATGCAATAGTAACAATATTCTATGACATTTACTCAAAAAATTTGCTCAGACACGCAACAGAATGGAATTTTACTCAAATACAGAAGGGGAACAGATATGATTGCAATTCCATCAAAGAAAATGTGCAAGTAACATTATCATATTTTTTAATAAAAAGCTAACATTTCCAAGAATTAAGGCCCCCCATGTCTTCATCCTAGCATGAGATAGAGAACTAATATTATAGTCACAACTTAGTTACTTGACATCTAATACAATCCTGAAGGAGTTTAGATGGCTAAAAAGCGGAAAAAAGACATAGACAGATATTAACCAAATCCACAAAGAGAGCTTCTACAACAACCGATTCAGCAAAGGCGAAAGAAATAACTAGCAGTAAGGAAAGAAAATGCATGGCACGCTACCTGAATTGAGAAAACATCTTCAATTGGCATCAGGAAAGGTTTGTCAAGTTGGCGCACAGGGTCAGGAATGTACTGATCTACGGCCTCCATTAGTTTCAAAATTGCATTTTTGCCTATTTCCTCATTTGTACCCTGTAAAGCAGACAATGCGGATCCCCGAATGATAGGAATTTCATCCCCAGGAAACTTGTAGAAGCTAAGAAGCTCTGTTGCAAATATAAACTTATGTGAACTAGTTCCAAGAAGCCAAATCAATGAACACACAAGAATAACTCAAAAGGCTACTTACCACGAAGCTCCATCTCCACAAGCTCCAACAGCTCTGGATCATCAACAGCATCAACTTTATTCAGAAAACACACAAGAGAAGGCACACCAACCTGTAGAAGAAAACATTTTATATGCAAATAATTTATCTCTCATCTGAAACCACATGCAAACATCCAAGATAAATAATTCAAGCAACTAATAGTAGTGTATCCACCTGTCTGGCAAGTAGAATATGTTCCTTAGTCTGTGGCATGGGTCCATCAGGTGCAGAAACAACCAGGATACCACCATCCATTTGAGCTGCACCAGTGATCATATTCTGCAGAATATTTTATGGTTAGGCCACTTCTCTTAAGAGGTTTGACAGTTAGAATAGTGCTGTGCATTAATAAAATAAAATATGAAACAACAATTCAAGATGATTAGTATCGGTGCCTAAGTTTGTGAAGATGGATAAACTAGCAGTAGAAGTAATATTGAAGTTGTAATAAGAGAACAGATTTTTTTTTTGTGTAACATCTCCAGCAAGGTTTCGCAGCAAAAGATTCTAGAAACATACTTTTATTTGCAATATTAAGTTAAGGGCTTACTTTAACGTAATCAGCATGACCAGGGCAGTCTACATGAGCATAGTGACGCTTCACTGTCTCGTACTCCACATGAGCCTGTAAAATCAATTCAAGTGTGATAACACTGCAAGGAGAAAAAAATTCAAGAGAGCAATTGCATAAGACTTATTCAAGAGAAGACAAAAATTACCAACCGTTGCAATTGTAATTCCTCTCTTCTTCTCCTCAGGGGCCTTGTCAATTTCATCAAACGCAATAGCCTTGGCTTTTCCTTCGTCTGCCAGCACCTATTCACAAAATTCCAGTACCTATCATCAGATCATTATGTAACGCTAATAACGGCTTCATAACTATTCAAAAGTGAAATATTTTTTGTGGAGAGAAAACGGAATACTAAGCATATCCATAAGCCAACCTTTGTTATTGCGGCAGTCAGTGTGGTCTTCCCATGATCAACATGCCCAATTGTTCCTACATTAACATGAGGTTTTCTGGAAAAGAAAACGATATCAAACGTTAAAACTAAAACCCATTTCCCACCTCTGTTCTTGTCATTGTTTGTATATCATGTTTCAAAAGTTAAAGAAAGTGCCTTTTTTTCAAAGCACAAATTTTCACCAACTAAACCCCCTAAAAGAACTAATATACCCCACACCCCCCTCCCCGGAAAAGGTTTGAGAGTTGAAAGTAACAAAGAGAACGATATTTAATTTATTCAGAAAAAGGAAATGGAGAGAACTAACGTGCGAGTGAAAGTAGCCATGGATCTCCACCAAGGGTTAGCGTTGTCTGGAACCGCCGCCCCATTTCCAGAGAAGAAATTGGAGACTGAGAAGCGGGAAGAAGAGATGGAGACAAGAGAGGACCAGTAAAACGGGGAAGAGAATGAGAAAAGGCGCCTCGAATTAGAGTTTCGAAGGGCGAGAGCAGCCATTTGATTATGCTTTAGACTTTGATCTGTTGTTAGAAAAATGGGAAATGGGGGGATTTTACTGCTGGTTTCGGGGAAGGGTTTTAGTATTCAATCGTGTTATTTTGTGTTGAGGGTTTTAGAGTGGAAGGAGAAACAAAAAAGGGGCTCCCAGCCCAATTATCTTTGTTTTTGGCGGCCCCAACACCAATCACTCATTTATTTAAATTCAAGGGTAAAGTACAAAGAGGTCCCTGAACTTTGATCCAATGCTTAATAAACTTTTAAAAGTTACAAAATTATCGTAATAATTATGAAACTGTTACAAAATTGTCATTACAATGTTATAATAATCGATTTTGATAAATTTAATGAATACTGTATAATATTTTGATCAAATATAGTGACCATCTTGTAATAGTTTGATAATTTTAATAATTATTTTATAATAATTCAATAAATTTAGTGACGATTTCGTAATGTTGCATAAATATTTTATAATAATTAATAAATTTAATGATTATTTCGTAAATTTTCAAAATATAATGATCAAAACAACAATTTGATCTTATTTTAATAACCTTTAGTGTAATTTACCCTAACTCGCTGAATTTATGGTATTTTAGCTTGATCATTTATTTTCACAATACCATTAGTGAGTTCAAGTAGCTACCAGTAACTATTTTGATAAAAATGCTAACAGTATGTACATAACATAGGTGGGAACCATAATGACTATTAATGGCTAGGTTGCACTGGCTATGATGATGCCGAAATTGGGAGGTCCTCCATGGTCCGGTTGTCATGACAGTAGCGAGCTCCGGAAAATACCACCACAGGGTTGCTCTTGCCATGTACCGGGGGATCCAAGAAACCTACTAATCACCTTCCAGAAGAAAGCTTGCATCACCTTCACCTGTTGAAAGTTGAAACACATGTTCCGGAATCTACTACTGAACCAGGCATCAACATTTAAAAAACCAGGGTTCATGATCATATCAATATGTCAATCAATATCAAGGTTAGTAAAATGGCCGCAGGTAAAGCAGTTTTAGTATGTACACAGATGCTTCAATTTCATTTCAATCAATCGTCTTAAAACTACACCAATCATAGAAGATATTTGCATTTCAAATGAAGAGGGAAAGGAATACAAGGAAGAAGGAACAACAGAATGCAATAAATTCTGAGCAACAAACGTCAAATTATCGTTTTCCATCAAGATTTAACCGGTTTGTCGTCATCTTCAATATCCCAGCTCAAATCCTCATCTTCTTCTGCAGTACTTAGTCGCTTTCTCAGCTCAGCCCGATCGGAGGAGCTCGGGTTCCTGCTATGAGTTTCTTTCTTATCATCGATGCTGCTGAGATCCTCAATTTCATCCCAACCGAGACCCTCCTCCTCCTCGGCCATGGATGGATGGCTTGACATAACCGAAAAATCACTGTCTTTACCACTGCCACTACTTGGCTTCAGCTCCTCATTCTTGCCTTTCCCTTCAGAAGCCACTTTCTCGACCGATTTCGCCACTGAGTCATCCTTGCAAGCTTCTTCATTCTTCTCCAAATTAACTTTCTCAGTAACCACATTACCACCACTTGATTCAACATAATTTCCCTTCCATTCCACTCGTGGTTGCTTGACAGGATTCATTTCCTTTACCTTCTCAACAACTTGATCCTCACTCTCCAAAACTATATCTTTTTCAGCTTTCTCTTCCACGGTTACATCTTTTTCCTTCTCCGCATCTTCTTGATTCTTTAAAGTCGCTTTCGGCATTACATTTCTCTCATCCACCTCTTCTTCATCCTCATCAACATCCCAACTCAACTCCTCCTCTTCTTCCCTAGAAATCGCTCTCTTAACAAGCTTAATCCTCGCATCCTCAGCTTGCTTAAGCTTATAAACCTTATAAAAATACCTACACCAAAACGTCTCACGATCAATCCCATTCGAAACACCAACAACCCTTTTATAAACACCATCCATCTCCCCATTCTCTTCCATCAATCTCTCAATCTCTTCTTCCTTCTCTCCCAAATTAAACCTAGATTTCCACTTCTTATAATACTCCAAATCCTCCGGTTCTTCAGTGTAAGTATTAATATCACCTTGAATTGCCCTTATTTGAGCATCGAACCGACTGTACCGATTCGAGTTCAAGCTCCGTTGAGCAATCTGACTTTTGTCCTTGCTCTCGGAGGAAGGGGAATAGGATTCGTTATCGGCAGCTAATATTGCTTCCTTGCCTTGATTAATGATCTGAGTCGTTCCCTTTATGACCGTGTTCCCGAACTCATCAATGACTTGCCCTACGTTCCCTAACGAGCCCTGAGCTACCTCGATTTCCTTTTTGAGACCCACCCCGAATTCTTCGAGATCACGACGGTAGGTTTCAATCACGGATTCGGATCTAGTTGCTATCGTTTTGAACAGACCGCCGAAGCTCCATCCGCTAGGGTTAGGATCGGGATCGGACAGTTTGGGGGAAGAATCGGTGCTGGAGTATTCGGCTCTAGGGGTATCGGATTCCGGCTGGAGTTGCGATTTAGGAGGATCTGGATCGTCGGCGAAAACTGATTTGAAGAAATCCATGATAAAAATCTAGGGTTCTCTGCTTTAAGAATTGACTGAGATTATTCTCAATTTCTGATACGATAATGAAACAAAGGGTGTACGGTCTACTTCTTGTTGTTCTAGACCGTGAACCAGACCGGTTCTTCTTGTCCACTTGTTCGTTTATAATAAAAGGTCTAATTCTGGTTTTCGTCCCTTTACTATGTTATTTGTAAATTTACTGATGAAACCAAATGAATTGCGACGATTATTAATGATTTATCTTTTATGGTACCTTTGACGGAGCGTAACAAAATTCATAACAATTTTTAATAGTATGAGGGTGATCATAAAATAATATTTATTTAGAATCTTTCTTAACGATCGATAATACACACTCTGCAAACACAACTGCTCAATCTCAAGTTTTCAAAAGACGACAACATTATCATTTACTCTTTCGTCTAAATGACGACATCGAATATAATTTAGTACCTTGAACATTTAACTAACATATACTCCTATATATTTATTATAGGTTAAATATTACGAGTTTTCAAGCGACTATGTATAATCGAATAATGGTAAGAAATATACTCGATGTCATTACTTTAACGAAAATAACTAATACGGTTATCAAATTGGACTTGCTAATAACATCTTAAAAATAAAAGGACCAAGGCAGTGTTTATGAAGCTCTTCGAAAACTAAAGCTCGTCATGCTGAGGTTCTTGGAAGCACTGCTCATCCCAAACGAAGGGGAACTTCAACTTTGCTGCAGTGTGAGGCATGGACCAATCTTCATATATGAACCTAAGTGCAAATTTGAAACAAAATCAACAGCGTTCATGGAAAATAGAAAATGTATGTTCAATGCGTACAAGGAAATTTGTCGGAACGACACAGCTTTCAACTTAAACGACGAACTATCTTACCCAGAAATGTGTGCTACATTCTATTTAGCATATGGTAACTTAAGCAACATCTTCTTTTATGCAGGAGACATCATCGGATGGAACTGCTATCATGATGATTCTATGCTAATATAGCCTTTCACTCTTTAAGTTCTTAAACAACCAATGATGCACACGACGGGAGAACGAAATGCGGGTCGTGTTTTTAAGCTTCCCAACAGTTCCTGCCACTTCTCCCTTCCTCTTAAACGAGTAAATGATAGTTAAGCTGCAAGCAAATTTGTCTTGATGTGCTCTATTGTATCAGCTTGAATTACCAAAAGATCAAGGCAAAGCCCTTCTAGAATAGGTGCTTTCGGTTCATTTATTTTAAAGGTTCGGAAGATGCGATTAGAAACTAGCATGCACTAGCCACGAAACGATTCGATGCAATAGAGTCAACCAACAAACATTTGGAAGGTTGAGGCCAAAGATGGCATTTAAGGCTTTCACCTGGACAATGGAAACATAACAAGACACCCATCCAACTAATGGCAAAAATATTGAAGCAAAAGGACTGAACAAAAACTACATACACTTTGACAGGAGGCCGAGATATTATCACAAGCACTTGCAAATCCTCGTGTTCATTCGAATTACAGACCTACAATGACGATGACAAACAATTGAAAACCGAGGAATGCCTGTGAAATACCAAAATTCATCAAAATGTATGCAAAATAACCGGATCATCTTATTACATGCTAACCCCAAGAGAAAATCATCTCTGTTCTCAGATTTCTATGTTCACCAGTACCATCATATTCAATATTGGGAGAATAGTTTTACCTGGTGAACATCATTGACAGGGATATGAAATGTGCTGTTCAAAGATATAAAGTGCTCCTCTGGTTTTCCAGGGGACTTGTGTGAACTCGAGGCAAGATATAGAGTGCCACTCCCTTTGAGAACAACAAAAACTTCTTCACAAGAGTGCCTATGGATCGGTGTGCGTGACCCCGGTGCAAATGTTTGAAGCCAAACCTCAACCTACAAAAAAAATCCAAAAACTTATCATACCGATGATCTGGCCATAGAACGAGATTCAACATCTTTTATTCGCCTACTACAAGAATGAGATTCAACATCCTTCATTCACCTACCACATGATCAAGATTCAACATCCTTTATTCGCCTACTACATGATCAAGGTTCAACATCTTTTATTCACCTACTACATGAAATCAAAACTTACAGCTATTTGTGAAAATTTCTAAAAAAGTAGGTCAATTTACAAAAGTCAATATCATACATATAGATGAACATCAAAAACTAAAGTGTAAGCAATCTACATACTTCTTTCAATCCATGCAAGAGTGAACCGGCAACAGTCATATGAGATAAACCTCCTATTCCATAACTGTCCTGAGGAAGTTCAGCAATGTTCCTTACCAGAGGTAACCCTGTATATGAAAACAAAATAACATAATTTCAAACAAAATCAGCCATTAGAGAAGCATGGATCAAGTATAACCCATAAACAAAAGACCAGCAAAACTAGTGCAACCTCCATTGTTATTTCCCAGTCAATATGGAAAACAGTCCGTATCGAAAACTAGGGAAAGATGGAATTATTAAAACATACCCAGAAAGGAAAAGGAATGAAAGAGGTTACCATTGATGGGGCAGTGAGAAGCTTCTAGGGTTTGAAAGAACGGAAGCAAGTTTAAGAAGAGGAAGGAAATGAAGCAAGGTCCAACCATCTTGTTTACTTTCTGGATTAAGCCTGGAATTGGTTGCAAATGGATAAGGTGTTATATTATAGTTGTTCCTAGACGTTCGTCTATAATATTTCGAAAAATATTTTTTTTTAATTTTCCTATAATTGATAGTTGTAATTGATTTTACTAAAAATATTTTTTAGTGTTTGATAATTGTAATTAATTTTTTCAATGTACTTTATTTTTTTAGTTCTTTTGTATTTTCTGTAAATTATTTTACCATCTGATTTTCTGTAAAATATTTTCTTAATTTTTCATTTCAGAGTATAAACACTTAAAAAAAATATTATTTTATACATTTAATATTAAATTAATATTTTAATATCATTTTAATAATATTATATTTTTAATATTATATTAATATATATATATATATACTCAGAGATATTATAATAATAATGATATTATATTTTTAAAGAATTTATTAATATTTATCTATTATATTTATAAGATAACATTATTAAATTATTAATAATGAGTAATGTTAATTTATATATTTAATATTAATATACTAATTTAGTATTATGTTAATAAAATACTAATAATTAAAATCAAGGGTTTCCAAATGGTTAATTCAACTATCGAATTGAATTATCATTAACAGAATAAACCAAACTTTTTTTCTTTTATCGTTAATCGAATCAATTTTTTTAAAAAATATTAACCGTACCGAACTTTATTCATTTTATGCAAATCATTTTCTATAAAATTAGTCATAGTGTATCAAACAATTAGTGAAAGTGATATACACAATATCATCGAAACACTGTAAAATAGTTTTAGGAAACTAATTCTTAGAAAATGTAATTCATTTTACGTAAAACAGTTTTAGGCAATTTATGTTACGTAAAACAGTTCATGTAATTCATTTTACGTAAAACAGTTTTCAAGTAATCCATTTTACGTAAATTATTTTTCAGAAAATCAATTACAATCTATCAAACGAACGAATATGAACATATATGTATTTCGTTCATTTGTGTTCACGAACAAACTCATTTATCAAATCATTTATAAACTCATTTATTGACTCGTTTATAAACTCATTTACGCGGATCCTTTTTTCCTTTTATTCTTTTAGACTTTATGTAACACTCTCAACTTATATAAATCCATGTATATGAGATAAAAATGTCACATCAATCGAATAAAATATTTACCTATATGTCACATCAACTCATATAGTGTTTTGTTTCCTTTAAATTCAACATTAAAAATATTTAATTGCATTTAAATCTATAATGTGAAATATATAAAATACTATTCATTTATCATATGATCAAAAAGAGTTCAAACATATTTGAATCAAAATCTTAAAATATAAATATGTACATGCCAACTAAAGAACATCAAAAACATCGAAAAGATATCATGCTAATTTTGCTGTCATAATTGGTCTTCAAAATATGTAAGATGTCCTGCTTGGCTCCTCACTCGATTGACTTCTCTTTACCTACATGTGAACCAATCACACTCTATTTTTTCCACTTAGTGAGATAACATAAAAATAATTAACATATACAGTAAATCGTTTCATATATAAACATCATCAAAATAATATATATATATATATAGTTTACATCTAATAAAATATTTGAAATAGAACATGTAACATCCCAAACTATGGGTTAGTGACTAAATTGTAAAGTTTCAGAATTTGGTGATTAAAGAAGAAGAAAGAATTAATTCAATGATTTATCTGGAAATAAATCCTAAAAGTTATTAGTAATTATCAAATGAAGTAGAGGGCAAAATGGTCATTTGACTATTAAATGAATTAAAAATAGATATGATAAGGATTAATATGTTAGAGGGGATAAGGATGAAGAGATATTCTCTTCATCTTTCTTCTTCTTCATGTACGAGAGAAAGAAAGAGTCAAGCTTGCAAAGGTAAGATTCCTTGTTAGCTGATTATTTGTTAATTTTAAGAGTGGGTTTTGATCATTAGGTAATACTTAAGCTTATGGATAGTTTAAGTTGTCCTAAAATCAAAAGATAAAGAAGTTATGAAAGATTAAAGAAAATGAGTTTTAAAGGAAATTCTGGAAAAGGGGTAGTAAGAGAATTTTGAGAAGAAATTTGACTTGTCATCAATCTAATTAAGGAAGATGGAGTGTTAGAATTAAAGTTAAAACATGGTAAAAATCTGGTATGATTCTTGAAACTAATAAAGAGGAGAGGATATTAAGGTTAAAGACGAGATAATTGTTTATAAATGAGTTTAACATGTATATGAAAGTTAGGAATATGAAAGGAGGTGAAATATGAAGCATTTGAGTGAAGAGTTGATGATTTTCGGGTTCAAAAAGAGGATTCTGGGCAGAGTGCATCGATGCACATTCATATTGCATCGATGCATCAAGGTTAAAACCCAGAAATTGTTTGAATGTGCATCGATGCATTGGTAGTGCATCGATGCACTCTTTTAAAAGAAGAACATCGAATGCCTTTGATGCATCGATGCATAGATAATGCATCGATGCATCCTTTTGAAATAATAACATCGAATGCATTTAATGCACCGATGCACAAGTAGTGCATCGATGCATACTTTCATTAAAAGAGGAAATTGGCTTTTCTCTTAGCCTAAGAAGTGACAGTTTAGAATATATCAATTGGAATATTGATATGAATCTGTGTATTGTTATGTAGAGAAAGAACGTGATCCGTTTTGGGACAATTGAGGAATTAGAATCGAATCAAAGCTAAACTAAGGTGAGTGCAATTTAATTGTACTTATGTTATTGATCAAACATTGGCTTGCGATGAGCCAGTGACAGAGTTACTATGGTAAGAAGTGACTCTTGATATGTTATGTGATTAACATTGTATGCATTAGTATCTAGAAATAGATGGATGATATGTTACATGATTTACATGCTTACGTGAAAATAAAACCGATGATATATGTTACTTGACATGACATGCATGATTACATGAAATGATCTACGTGAATACATGTATATGTAATACATGTGATATGATATGAGATATATGGTTACACATACATGTGGTATGTGACAAGAGAAAGAACAAGTGATATGAAATGTATAAATAATGCCCATAGTATACGATATGAGAACTATAGGTGTAGTTGGCATGCCAAGAGTCGAGGGTTTACCTATGTTGAAAGGAACATATGGATAGTTACCGGGGTTCTTTGTAACCTCTGGACAGGTCCTTCGGGACGAATATTGAACGAATGTTCGGTGCCCCATGAGGGAATTTATACGAGCTGTGGTGACAGCATTAGTGCACAACCTCAATGTACTCACATACCTCTATTCTCAATAATATACATGGGCAATGAAATTGAAAGACAAATGTAAGTGAAAGTGATACAAGAAGGTAAGTTGCATGTGTGCATGACCTGATTGTATATTGTTATCATACAATAGATCCATGCATATTGATATGTCATGATTCAATGATATAAATGCATTTACATGAATTATACGATGTTATGTGTGTTTCTGGGTATTGTGATATATGTGTTATATGATGAGTATATGGTAAGTGGAAAGGATTATTGATAGTGTTTGCATATGTATGTCTTTTATTTATATGAAATGATACATGGTTATATTATATGTTTTATATGCCTCACTAAGTCTATGACTTAGCGTGTAAGTGATTTACACGTAGGTACTAAGAAACGAGAAGGGAAAGAATAGAGGTGGCAAAGATAGTATCACTACTAAAAGATCATATCATAAGTATTTGACAAAGTATGTATTTGGTCATGTATAAAGTGTTGGTATGTAATAAGTCATTAAGTACGAGCACTCTGATAAAGTCTGTATTTTGTTTTAAATAAAGTTTTTAAATTTCCCGGGATTTTTCTTAAGAGTCAAGATTTGAAAAGTCAATGTGACACGTCGGACTCGTAACCGGGTCGGGTACGGGTTGGGGGTGTTACAGAACAATATTATAAAAATTCGATAAGTCACTGTACTGAGTCATTTTAAATTGTACTTTTCTTTCAGATCATAACATTTTCATATTTTATTCAAACCAGACCTTTTACTTTGCCCACTGTATTTTTCATGAGAATATATGATACACTAGTCAGATGATGAGTGAGCGCGTTATATACAAATTCATTGTCAAAACAGATTGCACCGAGTCACTCTACCTCGTGTATCACTAAGGTACACCGAGTCAGAGCACGAGTGACCCATCTTGGTGCCACATCATATATGTATAGTGTCAAACAATTGCACCGAACCACTTCACCTCGTGCACCATTAAGGTACGCCGAGTCAAAGCACGAGTGATCCATTTGGTGCCAGATCTGAAATAGATATAAATTCACTCCACCTCAGGCATGCCATTATACCACTAACCCTCATTATCATACAATGAGATTCATTTAAATTCAATACTAATTTGCATAAAAAAAAATTCAGATAATTGAATATAAAACTGTTCTCATAAAAATTAGATTTTTGGGTAGTATGTATCAAAAAAATAATCAAATGCTATGAAATAAAATAAAAATGTATGTATTTAAAATACGATTTTAAAAAAATTATTTTCATATCGGTTAAGGTTAACTCATCGCAAGTCGTCTTCAAATTATTTTTGATAAAAAGTTAGTTGCACTCACATGTTGCCTCACTTCACTTTAATTACTATATTCCTTGCACCCTCGAACTTAATCCTTTTTTTATTGGATTTGTTTTTGTTTTCGATCACGATCTCCATATCATCAATTTCCTAATATAAACATTTTCGAATTCAAATTAGTACTTTAACTAATAATATAATATTCATTTATATTCAAACAACTTTCTAAAAAAATAATCGACACATATTCAAAGCTAATTTCTCTCTCTTAATCTTGCGAAACTTTTCACCTTAATCCAAATTCAATATTCCCATATTTTAACTAAAATTTCCAGCATTGCATCCAAAAATTCCAAAGCTTTCATCTAAGTCTTTTAAATTTTCTAAACTTTGTAAAATGTCCCTAACAACTTCACTATCTCACCACCAAATTTCTTTCAACTTACAATTAAGTTCCTAACTTGTAAACTCCCTCAAATCAGTCCAATTTGACATTCTAACACTAAATTTCAGCATAGGACCGTAATTTTTCCACAATTTCACATTAACCCTTTAAATTATCAAAGCTTGTAAAAATGTCCTCAAAGCCTAACAAAGTTCCAAATTTGGTCCCAAACATCACTTAAAGCACCTAGAATTATTCTTACATTCAATCTAATTTTTCCAAAATTTTCCCTTTATTTCCTCCCTTAGGTCGAAATTTTGCAATATTTCACCTATTGTTCTTCAATTTGATTTCAAGCTTAAATCATTCTTCAACATTCATTTCTAATCAATCTCAGCCATTTTAATATCAAACACATCAAATTCAACCATTGTTCATAAAATTTCCATAAGGTTGAATTCCCTATATAGTCCATCTAATAATTTATATTCAACTTCCATGCTTGGTTCTAACTCCACGACACCTTAATCCAACCTTATTTCATTGAATTCATATCTTTCCTTCATCCATCAAATTCACAAACTCCCAAATACAAGCACGAAACCACGAAATTTTATTATCAAATGAAAGAGAATTTAAAAGAGATTATTTTTATTTTTCACACTTTAGTCCAAATCCTAATTAAAATATACCAAAAATTGAAAAAGAATAAACAAAACCACCTTTGATTATGGAGGTTCGACAAGTTGCTGGAGATGAAGATAAAATCTCCCGAAATTTCTAAGAAAAAATCCCCCAATTTTGACTTTTTAAACCCATAAAATAATTTTTTTATTCATTTTGAGCCAAAAACCCAAATTGCCTTAATGAATCCTCTAAATTACAACCAAGCCACTCCATTATCTCTAATTTAATATTATTAAATAGCTGTAAAAACCTCAGCTCCCAAATTTTCTTTTTCCCTCCAATTTTTTAAATTTTCATTTTAGTCACTAAATTGCACTATTTCACTTTATAGTGCAATTCTCACCAAATTCCACCTATTCAGCTTAAATTTCACTAATTAAAAATGTCCACATAATTTTTCAACCCAAATATACCTTCCTTCAAATTTTTTGTAGACTTTCGATTCGATTCGGTTATCCGAATAATATATTGAACTTTGTCCTTTAATCAACCTTTGTACAAAATCCAAATTAAAATTATAAAACTCACTAAAATAATTGTGTTTGACTAAATTAATGATTTAAAAACACAAATTTAACTTTTAAAAAATTACATTTTTAGTCCCTATACTTTTACAACTTTATACTTTGATCTCTAAACTTTCAAATTTTACATTCCGGTCACTAATCCAAATTTCTGGATATTACACTTTAAATATTGGTGAAGATAGAGAATAATTAAACATAAGATGAACTTTGGAATTCAAAGTATAAAATCTAAGAAACTTAAGGATTAGTGGTATAATTTTACCATTTAACTTTGACTTACAAACAAAACAGTAAAAGGTATTGGTCGTCAAACATTAGACGAATATTAAGCAGATATGAATATAGTACTGAAAATTTAAATGAAGATGAACAAAATATAAACACTTTTAAGAATAAACAAATATAAACACTTTTAAAAATAAATAAACAAACACATACATAACTTTATTCATTCAATCTCGATTTATTTACAGTCTTAATTATGTATGTGTCTGTTTATTTATTTTTAAAAGTGTTTATATTTGTTTTCATTCAAACTAGGGTTTATTTTTATATATAAAAAATTCATTAATTTTATTTGTTTTCATTCTAATTAGGAATGAGTGACAAAAATAATATTTTTTTTAAAATTCTGAAGTATTCAAATTAAATTAACCGAGTCAATTTCAATTTTAATTCTAATGTTTGAGTTCGAAAAAAATCAGGTTTGATTATTTTACTATTTAATTTTTAGTTTCCTTATTTATTCAATTTATCTTTCATTTTAAATTTATTTTTAATTAAATTTGAACCACACACTTCTAAATTGTTGTAGAATACTTATACAGCTTCAATTTCTGTTTTTGATAACCATTTTTTTTCAATTTAATCTCTTAATTTAGTACGGTTTCATTATTTATTCAATTGTTCATTCGATTTAACTCTATTTTTTTATTAAATTTAAATCACATGCTCCACTAGCACTATAAAATACCTATTTAACTTTAATTTCTAATGTTAATAAAAAAATTTATTCATTTTATAATTTAATCCTATTTTATTCAATTTAATCCTTTGATCGATGTTTTTTTTAATTCTTCTCATTAATTCATTTGAATCCTTTATACTCTCAATGATTTCTATTCAAAGATCTCTTATTTAAAAATAACATTATAAATATATTTTAAAATTTTAAATGTTATTTAATTTATTAAATAAGGGTTATGATACACTTACACTGTGTAAAACTCTTTTAGTTTTACACTTTTTTTAGAACCATTGGATCGAGGGAAATCAAAGATTGAGATCAACTCCTTATTTTTTTCAGTGAATATCTTCTCATTTTCTATTGTTAATATCAGCCTTTCAAATTTCTCTGATCCAATAGTCCTAAAAAAGGTATAAAACTAAAGTTTTACACAATGTCATTGGATTCTGCCCCAGTAAATAATATTACAAATCTCACTTACACACGTGAAAAAGAATATGAAATAATACATATGTATATTTAGAGAAAACCGGTTAAATTAAAACTAATATGTATTATAATGTTATAAAAAATTACAATTAAATTCAAAGGGAATTTCGAACAACTCGACTCACTCGAATTTCATAAACTCGATTTCAACTTTAAAAAATAAATAAAATTGAATAATAAAATAAAATTCATCAAACCGGTTAACTTTAAAAAAAATATTCGACTCGATCGATACTGATCATCCTTTCATTTTAATATTTAAAGTTATCAAAATTGAATGTATTGTTGAATATTTCCAAATTCTTGAATAATACATTAATCATTTACTTTGTTGGAAAAGCTAAAAATGGTAATAAAATCAGGGGGGGTGGGATTTATAAACGTTGTCATCCATAGCCATAGGTTATACAAATCAACTTTCCCATTCCAATGTAACGCACCAAAAGAGAAAAAAGATGTCTCTATCAACCCCATTACAAGGTATGGGAAAATCTCTCATCTTGCTGTTTTTCTTCTTCTTCTTCTTGGTGTTGTTCTTCAATATTGAGAAATTTTCTATTATTTTCGAAAATAAAATTTAGATTTTTCTAGTTCGTGTGATGTTTGATAAAAATGATAAAAGAATTGTTGTTACTGTTTAAGGTTCGGGTTCGAGCACAAAAAATATCAATGGTGTGAATGTTCAACGTCAAATGATTGAGCTCTAAACATGTAGTTCTTATACTTATCACATATTAATAAAGAAAGCGATTTTTTTCTTATTTTTCTTATTTTTCAATTATATTGTTATAGATGTATAGAGTTAATTAGAATAAAAAAACAATCAGATTTGAGAAACGAAAATTAAAATATAAATTTTCAGTGTGTTTAGTCAAAATAAAAAATATTTTCAGAATATAAAATGTATTTTATAATCAATATATACTCAATTTAATTAAATAAATATTAAAAACATAACTTTTAATTAAAATAGTTATTTTTATATATATTTAATTTTTTAATAATTAACTATTTAAAAATATTCATATTTTTTTGTATAAATTGTCATACCCAAATTAATATTTGTTTCTTCCGTCCCATAAAAATGTCCCTTATTGACTTTTTAAAATTTAAAAATTTTAAACTTTAATCATAATTTTTTTAATATTTTAAATAATCAAATTTTATAAAACATATATTTAAAAATAACTTGATTGGAGGTTTTTAAAATATATTTTTATCAATAATAAACTTTAAATAATAATTAATAAAAGTTTTTGAAAAATTGACTCAAAAAATCAATAATAGACATTTCATGGGACGGAGGAAGTATTACATAATTATTATTTATTTTTTATGATTTAAAGTTATTTATAATATCTAAAATTTTAAAATATAAATTGTTAGCCCAAAATAATTTGAAATATCTATAGAAAATAATGATATTCTAAATAATTGATGACATTTTAATTTGTCTGTTTATAGGTTAAAATAATTTATTCACATTTTTTATTTACTTTTTAATTTTTCCTAAACGGTGCGTATAGTACTTCGAATAAATTCCATGAAATTTATTTTATTTCTTCAGCTTTTCTCACTGTTCTCACTGTGTACGGTCACTGCTCGCCGGCCGCCGGTATATATTTCACTCCAAAAATATCATCTTTAAACTCTCACTGGCCCCCTTTTTCACGCCAGCAGATTTGGTTTTCAAAAAAATCTCTAAAAAGCTTAGATCTACGACCAAATTCGCTGCTTCCACCACCCAAAAAGTTTCATTTCCGCCGCTCCAAACGAAATCCTCTTATAGTATGTTGTTTTTCATCGTTTAATCTCCTTTTGCATGTAATGTGAGCCCAGAAATAGCTTAACATTGCTTGGGACCGATTCTCTCGCATTTTTTTGGGTATTTCAACCTCTTTTCAGTGGATATTTTGGTATAATGTCTTTATCTGTTTTGTGTTTCACGGTATGAGTATAAAGTTCGTTTCTTTTTATTTGAATCTCATTGTGAACTATATAATTTCTTGCTGTTGATGGTTGTTCATTGGAGCATTGAATGATTTAATTTGCATTGGAGTTCCACTGTGTTATCAGTCTGTTGTTCATTTCCTTTACCTTTAGCGGCCTTTTTCTTTTCGAGTTCAAATTTTTATGTTTACTATTTTCATACAGGGTTTGTTGCGAGAGAGTCAACTTGAGAGGACATAGCATTCTTTCTTATAGTTGTTCATAAGATGAATGAAAAGAATGATAGTGGTGGTGCATGCAAAGTTCAGGACAAAGGAAGTAAGAACAAGAGAAAACTAGATGGTCCTTCTTTAGAGGCTCCGGTTATTCTTCCTTTGTCCATGAGTGAATTCCTTCCTTATGAATTGACTCCGGAGATATTTCGAGGCCCTATGGTCGGGCCATTGGAGGTAGGATCACCTATGGGGCCTCTTAGCGAAGATTTTGTACCTGCCGATTGGGATGATCCGATTGCTTGTCAACTTGAGGAGTTACTGTTATCTAATTTGCACATGATTTTCTGGAATGCGAGTAAAAAGATTGTAGAGTGTGGGTTTAAGGAGGATGTTGCGGAAAAGGCAATTTCGAGGCACCCCCTGTACCAAGGGGGTAAAGATCTTGTGTCAAATGTTGTGAATGATGCTTTGGCTTCCTTGAAGGAAGGGATAGAAGGTGATATTTCGAGTTATTTATTCAAGGATTTGCAGCAGCTTGTGGTGTATACGATGCTAGAGATGATTAGTGTGCTTAGAGAGGTTAAACCATGTCTATCTATTGCAGAAGCAATGTGGTGGTTGTTGATGTTTGACCTAAACATTTTGGTGGCATGTGAAGTGGAAGGAGATTTATTGCATAGTTTAGGTTTTATGGAAGTCTCGGGAGAGAGCTCCTCTGATTCTAACTCCAAGTCAAGATCGGACACTCAAAATCCGGAAACCGTTATTTCTATCTCAAATGAGCCCAATGTTTCAAAAAAACCTTCATTCTCCTCACAGAATTACCAGTCTGAAGCACTCAAATTTGGAAGTTTCCCTAACTTACCTAAACCCAAAATTTCTCATGTTTCTGAAGGGCTGTCACCAGAGAAAGAGATTTTGGTCTCTATGAGTGCTTCTAGAGACAATGTCTCGGTTACATCTATCTCTAAAGAAAAAGCAGTGAATAGTAGAAAGGGGCGTTCCAAAAAGGAATTAGCTGCACTACGAACAAAGTCCTTTAGCATGGAAATTAACAGGACGGCTTATTGTAAAGGTTTTAGAGCTGCGAAACTATCTGCCTCTTGCAGTGTTGTTGAAAAGAGATTGAAGTCTCCATCTGAATTATCAGCTGTGCATATGAAAAATTCTTCAACAAAAATAGTTATGGAGGCTGGAGCTTTAGCTGATGGAAGTCATCATGTTTCAACTAATTCTTCACCTAGTGACTCGTCAACTTTGCTGACAAAGGGTACTAAATCTGCAGTTCCAACAATAAATATTGGACGTGCACCATCATCATCTTCGGAAAATAAACCTGTTTCAAATTCTGAAGGAGGAACCTCAAAATCTACTAAGACACCTGAACACGGTGTAGATAAGAAACCTGCTTCAAAGGCTGAAGGCAGCTCTTCTACGTCTCCTAAGCTAATTGATTACTGTGCTGGAATTCCGTACAATGAATCTCTAGGAAAATACATCCCACGAGACGATAAGTATGATATGATCTTGAAGCTTGTTCCAAGGATCCAGGAATTGCAGAATGAATTAGATAGTTGGACTCAGTGGACCAACCAGAAGGTCATGCAAGCAGCCCGCAGGCTTAGCAAGGACCAAGCTGAACTTAAATCACTGAGGCAAGAGAAGGAAGAAACAGAGAAGCTCAAAAGGGAAAGACAAATCATGGAGGAGAACACCATGAAGAGGTTGTCTGAGATGGAGTTTGCCTTGAACAACGCAACTAGTCAGGTTGAGGATGCTAACTCTACTGTTCAGAAGCTTAAGGTGGAACATTCCAGGTTGAAGATGGAGATGGAGGCTGCTAAATCACAGGCTACAGCATCAGCTGCAAGTTGTCGAGAAGCGTTGGAGAGAGAACAGAAGGCCCTTAAGGATGCTCAGTCATGGGAAGGACAGAGAAGCTTGCTTCAGGAGGAGCTTGCCTTGGAGAAGCAGAAGGCAGCAGAGCTGCAAAGGAAAGTAGGCAAGGCTAAAAATATATACAGCCAAACTGAGGTTCGATTCTCCCTGAACAAAATACTCATTGACTTGTTAAATAAACCTTAATCAACATATAGTTTACTTTTTGCCTTGTTAAGCCAGCATATGAATTTTACCTAAACTAAACAGACTAGGAAGGTCATAGAATCTCAAGATCGAGAGGATAGATTATTGAATAAAATGCCACTAAGAAAAAGCTATGTTATTATAAATAGAACTCTTTAAGAGACCATAAGAATTTTGCAAAAATGTGTTTGTGTACCCATCTCTAATCTTATTAGCAAATTACCACGAAACTAGTCAAAGGAGTGGTCAAACGGTTGCATTCAAATTATTCAATCATATACCATGAATGGTCAAATGTCTTATTCTTGTCAACTTCTCATTCTAAATGTTCCATCTTCATTTATGGCTTGATGCATGAAGAGGCCTAGAGAAGTGCACTTAGCTGTTTATAGTTATACCCTTAAATATGATAAATTCTATTTACTTGTATTTTCTCATGAGAGATGGTGAAAAGTAGCAGATGAGATGGAAAGAGGAGAGGATGGCAAAGGAGAAAGTCCTTGCACAAGCTGCCTACATAAGGAAGGAAAGAGAACGTCTTGAAGCTGCAGCCAAAGTGGAGGAGGATAAGATTAAACTGAAAGCAGAAAAAGATATGCAGAAATACGGGGAGGAGATAAAAACACTCGAGAACAAGTTATCTGAGTTGAAGACGAAGCTGGATTCATCAAAAATAGCTGCACTTCGGGGAGGCATTGGCGGTGGCAATGGCCAGTGCTCTTCTGTCAATGAGGTGAATCATGTTCAAAATTTCCCTAAAGGGGTGGTTAACATCGAGCATTATTCTGGGAGCAGAGGTCTGAAACAGGAGCGTGAGTGCGTCATGTGCTTATCAGAAGAGAAGATGGTGGTATTCCTTCCATGTTCACATCAGGTCCTATGTGCCAAATGCAACGAGCTCCATGAGAAACAATGGATGAAGGACTGCCCTTCTTGTAGGACCCTGATTGATTACCGCATATATGCACGTTTTGCTAAGCCACAGGCTATAGATCTCTGAACCATTTTGCTTGACTAAGACCAGTGAGTAATGGTGGATAGGTGAAACGGAGCTCTGAGAAATCCCTTCAAACTTATGCTTTTTGTTTTGTTTTGGGGTCTTTCAAATAGTGTATACCAGTAGCTCAAAAGCATGGAAAAGATTAAGAGAACATTTATAGCTCACAGTCCTCTAATATAGTTTGTTCTTTTCAATATAATGATATAATATATAGTTTAGTTTTACATTACAGCTTCAAGTGTTGTTAACTTTTGTCTTTGAAAACTTCAATCATGATCTCCTCTTTTTCTAGGGTCAGCCAATTTCGACAAAATTTTCAAACTCCTTCACGAGTATACATTTAAAGCTGAAACCCAGAATTCGAAACCCAGAATTCAAAATCCAGATTAGGATACTATTAAAATCAAACACCAATAATAAGTACAAAGAAAATACTAAAAAAATTAACATTTCAAGTGTTAAATGACTTCTCATTAGCAATTCATCTTAAGAAAATGCTAACAGTTCATCTCGTTGGCAGTTCATCTTATAGAGATGCTGCCTATTTATTTATATCTCCTCCATTGTTTGATAAAATCACAGTTCCAATATAAAAATTAAATTTTACTACCCCAAATGTAACATCCATTTTCGTTTGATTTTGAAAGCATCTTGAATCTCTCAAAAACAATCTACTTCATTTCCTTGATTCTCTATGCATTAATGGTTGCTAGTATTTGTTCCAAGGTTTAACCTTTTGTTTCAGGTACCAATTTGACTGCAAACAATATAGCCGTCGCATTGACCACAGCATAAAGAATGAAGGTACCTGCAATGAATCCACAAGAGTTGCTGGTAAATTCACACACACACACATATATACTTCTTACAGGCAAATTTTTTTCATTCTATTTACCATGGGAGCTTCAGCTCATAAGGAATTTGAAAGTGTAAGAAACTGCCCATGCACCAAACCAGTTCACCAGCGTCGCGAGGCTTCCGGCTACTCATTTGATATTTATAGGGAATATCTGCAACCAAATGACATGGTTAGAGGAGTTGAAGCCTGAAGGATTAGTTCATCAATTAGAATAATGTTAAAGTTTGCAGACATTTCTTTTCTGTTACCTCAGATGAAAAGGCACTTACGAATACCTGATACCAATTAAGATCCATGTCAGAAATAATGTAGAAGAATTAGTAATCCATAGTTTGATAATGAACAAATCGAACGAGTATTCGATAAAGTTTCCAATATGCCTGTTACAGCAAGAACAGGAACTGCATCAAGTGCCGAATTATGATCCTGGTTGGTAAAGATGTTTGAAATGTTAGTAATTACAACAATACAGGGAAGCATATAGCCAGAGATGATAGTTTGGCATTTTAACCTTAAGGTAGAATGAAATCCCAGATAGTACACAACCGAGGACCAATCCTGTTGAAGAAACCTAGAATGAAAGAAACATTTGAGATTCATCCTCTATCCATGAAAGCAAAAGCAATTCGGCTTAGCAATTTAAGGACCTTGTGACTGATAAATTGTTCTTATACTTACCAGTAATAGTGGCTTTCTTCCAGATCTATCGATCATGGGTGTGATAAGGCTAGTGATGACAACCTGCAGAAATGATTGTCTTAAGTTTGCTTGTTAGGGAAAAGTACATGGATTTCAAAGAAAGGGAGATATTGTCCCAACAGTAGCAGAAAATCCTGAGACATTTGAAGTATAAAACCAGCAATGTTAATAACAGATAAGACTTAATTGTGTCAGGGTGCAACTCGAAGGTTTCATTTCCTGCCGACTCGAAAATATTGCTGGTATAAAAGCAAATACCATTGATCCCTCCAAATTGTTGAAAGAATATTAATCCAACTCCTATCTGATCAAAGATAAAGCACGGTAAAGAAACATTAAATAAGATGCAAGAGTGAAATGTTGTTGCTGCTAATTGTTTGATGAAGAGTGATCTGGTTGTACAATCGGTTTAGAAAGAGTGACATTTACAATGACAGAGCGTAAATGTCTTTGCTGAAACAAATCCAGCATTTTGGTTTTCAGAAGCTGTTTGAGAGTCTCTATATAGTCCTGTCGAGCAATAAAATAAGTTCAACATTTTCTCTTTAATGCTCCAAGTCTAACTCAATTCCATTGTCTGTTAAGATGACAGGTTTAGATTAAGAACCCGAATCTCAGCCGCCTCCTTCGATATATCAGCATCCTTGCCACGAAGATCTTGTAGTGCAGCTTCGAATTCTTTTTCTCTTCCAATCTTTGCCTGCAAAAGTTCGAAGGTTTTTAATCCTGTTACTATAATTCAGGGTTAAAAGGACCAAGGATTCCAATTCCCCCATCTTTTCGGTGTCTATTTCATACCAGCCATCTGGGAGACTCTGGAATGAAAAAGAGTCCAAAGAACAGAATTGCACAAGGAATAAGTCCTGCAATCATTCTACTTGTGAGTCTTAGCTTGGGTTATGTAGCGTTAAAAGCACCCTCAAACTTGAGCATGGTTTTGCAGAAGAATGTTGGCTAACACTTTTACCTGTTAGTGCTAAAGTCCTTCATTTTAGAACTGTCCCTATTATGAAGGAAACAGACACTCCAGTGCAGATCATAAGCTGTAGAATTAAGGTTCGAGATAATCAGATAAAACCGAGAGCATAAGTATTTCATTTTTCTTAATCTTTCTTACACGTTTCCATTGCAGATTCAGGCAACTGGCGATGTTCTGATGCTGACATTCTTGAATTCATTTAGTGATGTTGGTTTTGAATGCTGTACCTGATTTACTGTTGTCAGTGCTCCTCGAAAGATTCTTCGGTGTGAATTCAGCAATAAATACCGGTACCTTGTCATGCACTCAACGAAGGCATCACGGTCGTTAGGAACACATAGTTGTACGAGTACCTGATATTGAAGAGATAGGAACTCACCACATATGAGAAGACTCCTATATCCCATATCCTGTTTCCAGTCTTCCAACGTCCAAAACCAAAGGTTCCTTTTGTTTTCAATTAAGAGCCAAAGAAGATTATCGAGTCATATTGTTCTCTCTGGGCAAGAGAGGTGCACTTACCCCTTTGATGGCCATTGTCACCTTCAGCTCTGTACTTAACTTTGTGTATATCGATACTAACGGAAAAGAGAATAAGCCTGAAACAATATATGTTCACTAGGCTTATACGCATACATCATCTATGTCATTTACATTTTTGTTAACACGTGTTTTTGATCATGTTCAAAAACATGTTTTGCAGTTTGTCTCTTTGGTTATCGCTTAGACCTACCAAGACAGATGCTTTCAGCATTTGAAGTAGTTCTTTCTTGTTCACTGTCTTCACTCTTTTTTACTTCAACATTACAATGAAACCATCTCTCTCCAATTATGGAGGTTTTGTTAGGACAAGTCTAATTATGATTCTAGTCCTTCAACTTTATCTCTATAATTTGATCATCATATATTTAATTGGCCTTCTATTTTTAACGTGTCCCATACCTGTATTATACATGTAAGTTGAGGAGTTTAATCCTAAATTTTGGTATAGTATATATAGGGACTAAAACCGGGAATACCCAAAGAAAGCTGCAAAACACCAAATTAGTCACCCTTTTCTTGGAACTGGATCTGATCCGAGAATGAAAAGGTTTCAAGATTTTCTTTTGGGAAAAATCACGTGCTTCATCACTCTTGCATGCGGTGAACATTGCTTAAAGTAGAGATGGGTCATTGCTTAAACTTATCAGGTATAAATCCAGGTCAGGCCATCAAGGAATTGCACAATCATCAGCCACCTTTCTAGCTTTGATTAGTCAACTTTCAAGATTTTAGGATAAAAGTACGAATTTTATATTGAAAATTTAGATAACGTAAAATTATAAAATTTTAAGAATATAATGGTTTCATAGTATTGTTGGTCAAGCTAAGAAAAGTCAAAAACTACCCTTTGGCCGTCTTATGAGATTCTGGCACATCAAATTCACATTCGGTATCAACGCGGTTAATTCAAGAGGTAAGTAGCTTGATATCTTTAATTAGATATTGAGTTTGAATCTTTGTGCATACACAAAATTTACTCCGAAAAATTCACCCACTAAAATTAGATATACGACGCATGTCGATCCGGATTAATCAAGACAAAATCTTAAAAACCGAGGGAATAAAATAAAAAATCACATTCGGTCAACAATGTTCAGTAATTGTTAAACTATGGCTGCTGGAACCGCAATGATATTTATGCATAGCGCCGCCCCAGTTCTACAATATGTGCATACATATTCTAATATTGCAGCTATTAATTATGCAGAAGCAACAGCACATGCAGAAGGCTGCAAATCAGGCAATATGGTCTAGAAATCACGTTCTTGCATTAAACAACACTCAAATTCTTGCAATTACCTTGTATTCATCAGGCCAAAACTCCATGCCACAGGTTGGCTAAAAACATGACATGTATACATATATGTATATATATATGAGGAATTTCCAGAAAAAGAAAACAATGAAGCATTATTTGTTGAACAAATCAATTTGATCTTCTTTACAAATGTGGGATGCAATTCTGTGGCCCATATTGAATTCAAATGAATCTAGCTTGAACTTGGCCCTTCCTCCTTACGGCCTGAATGATGACTACTTTCGTAAGCAAACATCTGATAGCCTGAACCCGAGAATTGACCCGAGCCTTTACTGCTTACTGATCTCTCGATGTCGTCGATATGAGCCACTAGAGGGATTGGCCGCTCGGGGATCATTGGAACTGAAGTGTCTGTTTCCAACATTTTCACGACCTGGTCCATCGTCGGCCGGCATTGTAACTCGGGGTGCGAGCAAAGGACCGCGACCAACACGTATTTCTCAAGAACCTCCGGCGGCCCCAACTCTGGCATGCCGTCTTCGATAACATCCAAAGCTCTCTCGGCCTTCACCAATGACCATGCCCAATCAGCCAGCAAAGAAGGCTGGTTATCATCATCCGTTACGAGCGCCTTCTTTCCACTCAACAGCTCAAGAAGCACTACACCAAAGCTGTACACATCGCTTCTCTCTGTCAATTGACCATACAATGCATACTCAGGGGCAACATATCCCATCGTTCCAGCTACCCTGGTGCTCAAATGAGTCATCCCCTCCGGTGTGAACTTTGCGAGTCCGAAATCGGCTACCTTCGCCTCGAATTTGTCATCCAAAAGTATATTACTCGCTTTGATATCCCTATGAATGATTGAAGGCTGTGCTCCGTAATGCAAATAAGCCAGTCCCCTAGCTGTACCGAGTGCAATCTTGAGTCGAACAGGCCAACTGAGTTTCTTTTCCATGGAACCAAACAGATGATCATACAAGCTCCCGTTCTTCATTAAATCACAAACGATTATCCTCTGGTGACCCTCTAACGTGGTGGTGGCCGTACAATATCCTCTCAAAGCAACGAGGTTGACATGCCGAACACTGGCGATTACCTCGACTTCATGCGTGAAATTGGCATCGCCGGCAGCGGAACAGTTCTTGAACCTTTTTAAGGCAACCTCGGAGCCATCGGACAAGTAACCTTTGTAGACATTACCATAGCCTCCTCTTCCAACGATGTTGTCTCTCGAGAAATTCTTAGTAGCTTCTTTGATTTCATCGAAGGAAAAGTGGATCAAGTTGGTACTTTCACTGATTGAACCCAATCCAGAGCCACCCAAGCTACCCATCTCGAGGCTCCTGATTCTGTCTCTTCCTTTCTTTCTCTTGGAAGCCTGGTGTTTTCTATATGCAAACCAAGACCCACCAATCAAAGCAGCTAAACCAACGCCTACACCAATCAAAACACCCAAAATCAAACCTATTCGGTTAGTCCTATGATTACTGTTGTTGCCGGGCCCGACCGAGAACAAACAGGAGGCACTGTCTTCATCCGTTGGTCCGGGGAAATTAGCAAAAGCAGCGGCGTAAATAGTCGGGTAGGCCGTGCAGTCCGACACGTTCGCGGTCGAATTGTCGGCCAAGTTAGCTTGTACATTGGCCAAGCTTCGAGTACAGGAAGCACAAGCCGAACCCCGCAACGACTGGTTACAATTCAAGACGACGTCGGATAAGGTGGCGTTGGGGATCAGAGCTTCGAAGCTGGATTTGGTGGTTAAGTTCAAACAACCTTGGGAGATCCAAGCGGTCTGGAAACCGCAAGAGGAACGCATGTCGAAGTTCGGGTTGAGGGTTTGGTACGCTTGCCAGCAGGACTCGGCGGTGTCCAAGGGAGGGAAGAAGGAAGAGGTGCGTCTAAGGTAGTCGGAGAGGACGAGGCGTAGGCCCTGGCGGACGTAGTGGCACTCCATGGAGGTGTTGAGGCGGGGCCTGGGGTTGGGGAGGAGAGGGTTTAGGATAGTGAAGTTCAAAGGACATGACTGAGCGATGCATAGTGGGAAGAAAGTTGAGACGAAGAAGATGAAGAAGAACAACAAAAGGGACATTGGATGAGGAAAGGGAAACTTTTGCTATAGCTAGAAATTCATTGATTTAGAAATGAAAATGGATAGATAGGAAGAGAAGAAGAGAGGAGGAAGGAGAGTTTTGAAAATGAAGATGGGAAAGGCCGCCTGTTTGACTATTTATCGTGTTACTGAGTTGACTCACCTGATTTACCATGCGTGAAAAACAGTGGTAACAGTACAGATTAGGGAAGTGCGGATCGAAGAGAACTGAAAGACAGAGAAAACGAGCTGGCAAGTGGAACTTGATCCCTTTTTGTCGTGTAATATAATAGTATTTCGTGATGATGTGGTTGTTTTTGTTTTAATTTGATTGCTTTTGTTTCGATCTGCTCCAACTTGGGTTTCTATTTTTTATTTGTAAATTCTTTTACAGGTTTAAAAATTTTAAAAAATTCACATCTAATTAAACTTTATAATTAAAATTTTAATCAATCAGATTCTTTTTGCTAACGTTCGTATAATGATATGATTAAAAGGGATCATACTAATATGCGTTATTCATTACGATTGAATTGATTATTCTTCTTTGATATTAATAATTTAATTAATTATACTCTTTGGTATTGATGACAATCGGGTGGGGTAGGTGCAGATATCTTTTTTTTCATCTCCATATTCACTTAATATTTTTAATATCTATCATCTACCCATTATCTACGATGGGTAAAATTTTTAAATTCATACCCGCCCATGCGGATACATTCTCAAAATTCATTCTCACTATCCAACTGGATACCACCACCCATCTCATATTTGTCAGTACCCGCCCATACCCGTCTATACCCATCAATTTGAGAAAAGAGAAACGATGGTCTTCAATTCTAAAAATGTTTATATCCTAACATTAGATTAAATTACAAGTCATGTCTTATAAAATCTTAAGATATACAGAATAATCTCTAAAATTATATCTAAATTCATAATGATAAAAAATTTATATAGTGAGTAGTTAGTGGCTGGGCGGATGTGGAGCGAGTGGATGTTGGACGGGTAATGTCTTAAATCCATCACCTACCCACTACCTATAACGGGTATGACTTTTTACATTTACATCTACCCACTACCCACTAAACTAATACCCACGTGAAATTTAATATTCAATGCTTTAAAATGTTGATTATCCTAAAAAACACTTAAAATTAGATATCAAAATTCAATTTAACTAAAATTCAAGTTAATAAAGATTTAGAATGTTTTTGGATAAAAAGAAAATACGAGGCGAGCCCCACCCATATGATCCGTCCCTGACCAAATACCCTAAAAACTCATTACCAATCATCGCAAAATTATTTACGTCGTTTGCTTAGCCTAGCGTTTGAGGCATGGTTTTCAGAATCAGACCGGTTAGCGAACTGATCATGCTATCGGTTCATTAGTTCAACCGGTCGAACCGGTTCGATCGGTCAGAAGAACCGGACGACGTCATAATTATTTAAAAATTAAATAAAAATATCAAAAATATTTAATAAAAATAATTTTTTATATCATAAGTCATAACATATATAAGTTAAAAAATATAAAATAAAGTGAAACAAAATGATTCAAATTAACTACAACATAATATTTAAGGTAAAACATATTAAAAAATAAATATAATTATATAACTATAATTAAAAAAATTGGGGTTAAAAAATCATAACAAAATGATATTGTTTGGTTTAATTTAAAAAAAAACAATCTCGCATGGCTAAGAAACATAGAAGAGCATCCCAAAAGTCTAAAAAGTAAAAATATTAGAACAAAACAATCTCACATTGCTAAGAAACATAGAAGCGCATCACAACTAATTTCTATAAATAATAGAGGTAATTTGACATTCAAAATCATGGAGCCTTTTGGTGAGCATTGAGTGAACTATTCTTTCACTTCAATCAAGCTCGAATTTTAGGCTTCAATCGAGCTTCTAATTTTTTTTTGAGTTTAAGCCTTTTTGAGTTCAAGTTTCAATATTATATTTCGAGTTTGAGTTGAACTTGATAATTTTTAGCTTGTGAGTTTGAGTTGAGTTGAACTTACCTTTAAAGTTTTCAAGTTCGAGTCGAGCTCAACAATACTCGAGTTCGACTTGGCTCGTTTAACAAACGACGTTGTTTGGTTTAATTTTTTTTTAAAAAAAACAAAAATCCCGGTTTTTTTCGGTTTTCAGCCGGTCCGGTTCGAACGGTTCAGCGGTTCTGGCCGGTTCACTAATAGCGGTTCAACCGGTTTATATTGAACCAGATTAAGCAATGGTTCCCGATTGAACCAGCCGGTCCGATCCGGTTTTCAAAACAGAGGTTTGAGGGGATGCAAGGGTTTTGGCCCATTGAGAGATAATGATTTAAAAATATAATTAAAAAATTTAAAATTTTGAAGATTCAAATAAATTATTATTAATAATAAAGAATAGATATAATTATCAATATTGAGATAAAATATTGTTTATAATTTTTATAATTTTATATTAATATAACTTAAGGATTACAATTACCCCTATAGTAGGCAAAATTTAAAAATTTCACTCATATCATATTTTCTCATCAATTTCTCCCTTGTTATTAAACTTTTCAAAATCAAAATTCCCCTTTATTCTAAACAAGAACAGCCTGCTTAAATTTCCCAGCTTCCATGGCTACTATTTTCGGTTAACTGAATTTCCTAATTTGGGTAGATTTTATTTTCCACAAAAGATCATGACTAAGGATTGAAATTAATTGAGGGTATTTTTTGTTTTTTGGAATCTTTGAGTGGGAGAAAGATGGATGAAGGAAAAAGAAATGATCACATGGATCATGCAATGCCCCGGATCTCGGGTTAGGAGTTTTGGGCTAACTCGAAATGGACCTTAGATTAAATCTCTAGCTTGTAAGAGGCTTTGACCCAATTTGAGATGGATTTGGGCTGGAGTTAAGCCCAATAGAGAGTAAAAGGGGTATTTTCAGTTGCAACTAAAATCAGGAGGACCCATAGTGTAATTAGACTATTATTCAAAATAAAGGTTGAACACCATTAATCACTTCTATGCATATCCCTCTTTCTATCCACAACTCTTGTCTTGTTCTCTTCTCTTCTCTCCAGCTTATCTTTCTTTAATGCCAAGCTTAAAGGTAGAACCTTTATAGATTTCTTTTGTTACCAAGAGAAAATAAGGTAAGAATCATCTTCCTCTCACCTTCAACTTCAATTCAAGGTTCCATTTGTAAGTTTTGGTAAAGAAAAATCAAAATGGGTTTAGTGGGAGTTTTTAGAAACCCAAGTGATTCCAGTTTATTTTGGGGAGATTTAGGCTTCTTAGAGTGTTTTAAATACTCTTCTAATCATCATAGCAACGTTAGTGGGAGAAGTTGGGGAAAGCTTTCAAACAAGGGGAAAGAAAATATTAACTTAGGTTGAGCCTTGAGCATTTCCTGTCGCCTAGACAGGTTAGATCTACCTGAGCGAGGGGACCAAACCGGGATGGGGAGGTTCTAACCAGTCTTAGAAATATGGAGAGGGTTTTATTCAACTAAAAGGGATAATACTTACTCAATAGGCTAGTGTTGCAATTCACGCTGAGAGGTATTGTTGTAACTTTAGTCTTATCATGTTTCTTGATTGAGAGAGTTTAGGAGCATTTTCAGAAAATCATGTCAGGCATCATACTCATAAGAGCGAAAACCATTCGTAGCACATAATATAATTTCCATAGAAAATCCATGCCAATTACCTCTATAGAAGCTTGGTTGTGTGAGGTTGTCAAGTCTTATCTCATTTTCCAAAGTTCAATTTATTTTACTACTTTAGCATACCTTTGCTTTTACTTAAATTCTTGCTACAACATTCCATCGCCTTATACATATCATTTTGCCACATCTTTTATTTCTCATTTGTTCATACCGCACTAACTTTACTTAGATAATTTAGAATAGTGCATAAACTTTACTCTAGGTCACTCCAATCCCTGTGGAGACGACAGTCACTCACTACTATATTACTTGCATTGATTGTGTATACTTGTACAGAATTATGTGCCACAACACAATATATTTACATGGGATCAGAGCACAAGATAATTTTGCTGATTTATTTTGGGTCCCGAACAGTGGTCGGTGACGACTGATGCGGTGGTCACTGACGATCAAAGGTGTCTCGTGACTGACTGATGAAGCAACCATACCTTAGAGTGGAGAGCACAGGTGAAAGGATTAGAGAAGAAAATAAATAAAGTAAAAAAATATGGGGAAGAAACTTAAACTGATGATATATATTTGTTTCCAAAACTACGTAGTTTTGGGTGGTAGAAGAAAGAAATGAGAAATCACGATTTTAGTCCTCTGACGTGGAAACGAAATCACAATTTTAGTCATATGACGTGGAAACAGTTGGCGTCCACGTAAGCATAAATTAGCGGTTTTGTTAGTCAAAACGGTTAACGATACAATTTAATACAATTAAACAACTTCGAAGGCAAAACTGATGCGAAAATACGATATAGACGAAATTGATAAATTTAATCTACTACAGGAGCAACCGTTACCCTTAACCCTATTAATATACCTAAATTTATAATTTTTATTACCCATTTAAAAGTCACAAGTTAAGGCACAAACACCTGGCTTCTTTAGAAAGCTCAAGTGTAAGCGACAAGCTGCTCCTTTTGCATTGCATGCATGATTTTGCGTCTCTATACGACTTAAAAACGTCCTTTGAGTTGATTTTATTTGTATTTTTAGTACGTCGGTTTCTCTGTCCATTTTCCCAATAAAAACAAAATCAAACGCCATTTTTGAAAGAACATCTAATTTTTTTTTTCAAATTAAATCTCACATTTTAAACACTTTGAAATATAATTTCAACTATAAATGAAAACCCACATATATTAAATCAATTTTTTGAACGGAATATAAAAATGGCTAAAGAGAAAGTAATCGGAAAGCTGATGCGCCTAACCGCCCTATTATAATATTTCAACTTGCAATCTAAAACAATCAGCATTCTTGTCATATATGAATCTGGTGTCACTTTTTTTTAAAAAACTGTTATTGTTAATTTAAAATAGGGTAAATTACACGTTTAATGTATAAATTATAAGTTTCGATATGTTTT